CTAAAGTGTCTGGATTATTTAAGAAAAAGAAAGGGAAAAAATCACACAGGAATTCCAGCCAATCCCAAGGTAAGGAAATTTAATGTTGCACATGTTTTATTGAGGTTTTTGTGGATTTGGTCAAAAAGTTTTATAATTGTGACAAGGTGAAAATATTTCTCATACATTCTTTTAATTTTAATTAAGAAAAACTTAATTACAGAAAAAGGAATCTTTATAGAACTTAAATGATGTGAGATCTTGGAGATACCAATGTAGCTTAGATATTTGTTTTAAAATATCTTCTTGTCACACATACTCCCTGTAAACTACATGGATTATGTGTGAAACAGCTGATATAGACCTGAACAAAGTTGTACAACAGCACAAATCTGTACAGGAGATTGTAGGATGGTCCTACAGATAGTTTGGATGGCTTAATAGAATTTCATAGCAGATGTAGTCTGATCTGCAATAGAGTTGTCACTGACTTCAGTGAAAATCAGATGGTTGTTGTTTGTTTGTATTCAAATCAACTGATAATGTATACATCCTATTGGCTTTAATTGACTTTATCACAGTGAATACCCCGTAATTGGTTGTGACTTTATCACTATTTTGAACACATGATTGATCGTGACTGTTATCACTGTTGCAACCACACAAGTCTTACATTTAGTTAAGGCGTACATTTTGTCGTTATAGCCAAATGCAGGAATGAGCATGCTCATTATTGACCAAATCTTTATCTTTATTGGGTTTGTAATATACAACATGACAAAGCAGTTTCTAATTTACTTTCGAGTAAATAATGAAATAACAGTCATTTCAATTTACATATAAGGTGTAAATGATAATCATTTTGGCTCTTTACTTTTGTAAACCTTAAATTAAAAATAAACATGAATCAGAAAATGTATTACTTTTGGGATAATCTGATTGAAGTCTTAATTTTGATTAAATTATATACTGTGTGTGTTTTTCAACCATGTCACTAACAGGTACTCTGTACATAGTTTCATGGATTTGTTTGTTGTTGTTAATAGATATATGTGTCTACCACTTGGACCTTTTAATGTTAGTACATGTAACAGGTCCTTAGGTGAGCTATATATGGTAAACACAAGTAGTAAATGGAGGGTTTTGTATTAGTACTTCTATCAACTTTTGAGCACATATTCATACGTCATCAAATAACATCATGTTATGAATATAGTTTTATTTATCTAAGATATATAATTCATCTTAGATATATTTATCTTCATTTAAAAAATGAAGATATTAAAAAGAAAAAAAACAAACTTTTGAGTTGACTATACTTTGCATATTTACAGGAACTTCTATGCTATTAAAGCCAATTGTCTCCCTGGGAAAGTCAGTCCTTGGGGCCAGCTTATAATTACGTCACATGTCTGACCCAAGCTTAACTATATACATTCAGGAACTTTCTACCTGTAGTCAGCGTGTCCTAATGTATGTTTTAATACACAATATGAACCATTTTTTGAAAATGAAAAAAACTCTTTATGTATGTTACTGTTAAAAGGATTTTACTGTTTAATTGTAAATTTATTTTATAGAAAAATAAGAATTTTACTACAGGAAGTGTTTTAATACTTAAAATGTTGTTTTGGAGAATAAAAACATCAATTCTAGAGTGAAGTTTGTGTTGAGGACACGATACATAGATGGGCTTGTATTTGGATGGTGTGTCTACATGTCCGTTCTTCTACCTTGTAGAATTTCCTTATATTTTGATATTGACTTTGATTTCCTTAGGATTTTCCTGGTGTTGTATTTTGATGCTGTGCGATATTTTATCTTTTTGATTCATTTCGATGAAACTTTACATAAAATTTTATGGATGGCAAAGTTTGCTGCATTTGTGCTATCTACTAGACTTATCATATGTAAGAGATTAGATGGGGACTTACACTCAGGTCTCACTTGAGTAAAGCTGACAGGTCAATGGTGATAGAGATATGTCAAGTGTGGCTTTACATTTCTGATACTTTCTTCAATTTTCCAGCACAGGAAGATACTTGTAATATTTCCCAGAAGTTGGAAACTAAATGGAAGACTGTTTTTATTAACACTGATGATGTGATAATCAACTGGTTATGAGAAGTTTCCAGTGATATTTTTGTGGTGCACTGACATTATAATTAATGTTCAACAAAAAGCAATTAAAGTTCAGAGGACTTTATTCTTCATTTTCACATAAATTTAATGTCATTATCCTCAAATAAGCCCGGGGGCCAGGCTGTATAAACCTTTACTTACAGTCAGTAGATGGGCATGCTATATGACTAGGATATTGAATTCATATACATTCTCTTTGAAACTGTAATAGATGTGATCGGGGCTTGAGATATAGTCTTATTGCATTCATAAGCAGGATTTTACATACATGTACATTTTTGGAATACTGATATTGTGTCAATAAAAATCTTACAGGGGTTTAAATTAATCAACATATGAAATGAAAATTAAATTCAGTGACTATTTCATAATCATGGATCCTGGTTTTTACAATCAGTAATGAATGATGTTGTTCTGAAGTCTAGGAGCTCAGGTCAGATTTTACTTTGTATTTTCTGGTGGAGCCTAGCGACACAAAAACAACATACCTCCTGGGCAGTTGTACCGTGGACTTACTCTCTATAGACAAAATTGACTATAGAAGTTATCAGTTATAGTAAGAGGTCTTAAGACTTGTAAGTGACATTGTATAAACATTCAAGCCAACATATACCTGAAGGAGTGTCCAAGTGTTGATTTTTGTTTAATCACTCAAAGCTAATATAGTCTTTTAAAAAAAAATACTCAAAGACAGGTCTTTTAATGCTAGTGAGAAGATTGGCAATTTGCATTCTCTGTGTATCTTCATGCAACATTGATTAACATTGAATGTGCAATAATAGACATTAAGTAATAAAAAATGTGGCCGAGATGCCAGACCTTAAATGACCATAGCTGTTGATGTGGCATAAACATTATTACGGGGTAAACAAAACCTAAACACACTCTGAATTATGATGTCAGTAGGTTTATCAAGTTTAATACTTGGATCGTAGTGACTTTGTTAAGAATGTATCAGCTTGGCCTAATTTACAACATTCAGGATTTACCATTAACAACTGGAAAATATTTACCAGTTACCAAAATTGTGATGAAACTCAAAATCAATGAAATAAAGTAAAACAAGAATGAAAGAAACATACACAATAACACTTTATAATTGCAAAAGTGAAATGACAATAGTTATTTGTACAAAGTTAAGTATCAATGATTCATTCATAACTGATATTAAGATGAAAGTTTAGTATTGTGAAATAGTTAATAAAAAATTGTATTGATTGAGTCAATCTGGTATGTTAATTTATCTATAATGTAAAGGACATACCCAGGATATATATATATATATATATATTTATGATTTCATAATCATCTGAAGTCAGTATAATTGTAATATCCTTGTCACAATGACAACTGGCAGTTGTTGATGATATATTCATATAAATAATTGATTGTTGATAGAAAAAGAAGGAAAAAATAAAGATGTTTCTTTCAAAAACATTGTTTTCCAAATCCTGACCAATACAACAATTATGTTATGTAAATATTTGTAAAATTCTCTTTATATTTTTCATCAATTTTCCTTTGGTTGATATATGATTTGTGGGAGATTTTGTCTTGGTATTCGAAGTATTTCCTACACACAGCTGTGTGTACAGCATACGTTTTGAGCTGTTGATTAAATAATAATCTTATGGTCTTGCTTTGAGTTTGTGTATTATTGTGTAATGCCATTCCATTGTTGTGTAATGGTATATACTGTTGTAGGTATGAGTGATCTAATGTCTCACTCTGTCTCCTAGTCAGACTTTAAAATGACTTTGTCGTGCTGCCAGACTTGTACATACATCTATGATGTTCGATACACACTAAAAAAATACTTTTTGTTATGAAAAAAATGGTAATCATTCAACCTAGTAGATGTTACTAAGACATAATGTACTATAAATTGATTCAGTTAAAATTTTAAAGATTTATTTATAAAACCTAGCTGTAAATAAAGATATAAGGTAAAACAAAATCTTTCATGAATATTCATTGAAAAGTTTATGAAATTAATGCGTTCTTTAGTAAGTAAAGTATGTGTGTATACTACAATTTTTGCATTTTCCAGTTGTAACACTTCTCTGTTAGGACAACTGTCAGCTCAATATGGGAATTTTACCAAGTGTTGATTTTAGACGTATTTGGTATACTTGAATTTCCACCTCATTTTTTCCTTTGGTAAGAAAAAAAAAACTTTGTAACGGATTATGGTCTTTCTGAAAAATTTAGTGCTAAGAAAGCAGGAAGTTTTGAAGCAAAGGATATCTCTCCTGGCGACATTTTATATCAAATAATACATTCCTTTTAGTATAAATGTCATTTGTTTATATGATAATGTGATATAAACTGAAACGTGACATTAACAATGCAGGTTGTCAAATATAAAAATAATCACTTATAGTGTCAGATTAAAGGTTATATACATTTAAGAAATTATTTTTATGAAGCCTGACTTCAACTTTTACATAAACCTTGGAAATGTAGGTCACATAGACACTTTTCCAACGGCGCTTTGGTTTGCTGTTTTATATCATGCAACATTATTGGACCCCAAAGTCCTTTATAATTTTTATAGATCTTCATGTGCACACATGATCTTCAACCAGTTAGCGTTAGAATGTATTATGAGTTTATGTGTGATTGTGATACAAAAGATATATAATGCAAACGTGACTTCATGCAATAAAAATGTATTGACGCAAATATTGTTAAGGTATTTATTATTGACAAAAAGCAGAATGATATTAAGTGGATTTCACTGTGCCACCCTTTACAACAGTCCTTTGCCAGAGAGTGTGTTATTTTCAACTGTAGAATTGTATTCTTGTTAGATAGAAAGAAAACAAAAATAGAGAATGTTTTTCAAAGAAATATAAAATGCTTTCTTTTCATTGCAGGTTCTGATGACGAGGGGGAACATCGAAGTGGATTTCAGACGCCACGTCGAGGTCACAGTAGGCAGGCAAGTCAGTCGTCCGTGACTAGTATACTGGGGGCCCGGGTATGTGATTATCTTCTGTCTCCACTCACAGCTTCTCTCTATCCAACCTTCCTTTCCTACACTCCTATCTAAACTGCTTTGTCTTCCACGGAAAACCCTCGGAAGGATTTTTCCCAATCATTGTGGAAGGGAACATGGCGAAAATATTTATAGCATGAAAAATACATATATCTGTGAATCAGATAAAGTTGATCTATATTGATCTTCATTGTTAACAGATAACAACTACTTCTGTCAAGGGGAGTTGATGATGCGTGCGTTGGAAAGTCTTCCTGTCTGGTTATAATACATATCAGATTTTAAAGAATGCTATTAATCAAATTGAATTCAATAAGAATAGAGCATAAAATCGAAGATATTTTCTTTTTAGAGTTGATTTTTTTCTTTTCTTTTAAACACCAAACAAGCGTTTTTGCTGTATGTAAAATGAATATTCACCTACCCTGCTAGAGGGATTGATTTTCACACCACTATAAAACACAATAGACATATTCACTCAATAATTGTATTTTTCGCACAATCTATCATCTCACCTCTCTGCAAAGAACATTTTTCCTGAAATCAAAAGCTATATAGTGACCTGCTTATCGAAAGCTAAGTAACATAAGAACATTTGATGTGAAATTAACATTGCCCCGAAATTTCAGATGTCCATTTCAAAGACTTGAATTGATTGACTGAATAGAGACATTTAAATTCCAGATATGCAAAAATATTATGTGAAATGTAACAGTTTGGAAATAAAGTTGAAATATTTAGACATGTATATTGTTGGAAAACATTGTCCTTGTAATTGTCTTTGAAGCTCTTTTAAAACAATTTGAAGTATGTGTAACCTGAATATCAGGACCAAGGATCGAAAAACCGTTATAAGTGTAATGTACATACACTTTAGTAAAAAGTGTTTATGTCATTAACTTACTACTCTGAATGGCCTTTTGTAAAGACCGTTCACTTTTCCAAATTATTGGTTTTTGGGTCAATGATATTCTAAAGCCTACTGCTTTTTGAATTCTTACACTCAGATTTATAAAGCATGGTCAGTTTCATTAAAATTTGAATTGCTGATATTTGAAAAAAATTTCAAATACAAAATAAAATATCAATGCATAATGGATACAACAAATTGACAAGATTTTCACAAAATCATGGAAAGATAGATTTTTTTTGTCTGTAAGAAGTTTGAAATAGAAATTTTGATATGTATTAAGCATGATATTTGAAATAGCTATACATGTTCTATACTGTTTTCATTGATCTTCAAGTAGAAATTTATAAAAAAAAAAAAAAAGTTTTCACAAGAATGACCTAGATAGGTTTTTAGGTAAATATGGATCTTTAAAAGGCTAGATGAAAGGTCTACAGAATGATTGGTATTTAATCCCCTACTGCTAGTTCTAATCAATAGTATGTTTATTAAAGAAGAAAAATCTATAGACACATACCAGGGTATGTATGTTAGGTAGAGAAATCAATACATTTGATTGGCTGGAGGGGTTTGATAATAAACCACCACAGTGTACCCCCTTTCATGTTGTAACTCACTTACTTTAGATTTTTGTTGAATTTAACAGTCATATAATGGTGATTTGCATTTTGAAATTATGTAAATCTGTAAATACATCTGAAAAACAAAAATAAATCTGTTTGAAGGCCTGGGAATGATGATTATTGCTTGTAATCAAAGCAAAGTCTCTATGAAAGCTGCGATGAAGTTATTTATGATATGTAAGCAGGGTACATGTATACAAATTAAAAATTCCAGTGATTACGTTTATTAAGTCTCAATATCTTTATTGATTGGTGGCCCAAAGAGTTTTCTTCCACATCTACGATAAGTAGTTTCTGTTCTGTATTATTGAATCACGTTAATGGTTGAAGTTGCCTGGATACTAATGAACTTTGTTTAATAGAAATGGATATAAATATCGATATGGTCTCCTGAACACTGTCGTGTACATTGAAAATCAAGCTTTCATAAGCACTTTTGACCTAGAACATCTTTGTAGGTGGTGTAGAATTTTAGCAGTGCATATGAACTTGCTAGTATATCATTTTTTTTTTTTTTTTTCTTACAAAATATTTTAGGTCTTTGATTTTCAATTTTTCAACATGACAGCATTTTTAAAGGAAAAGAATTCAACATATGTCTGATATAACCATGTTCTAATAACTTATATAGTCATGTGGTGTGTATTAAATTGTTGTTTCAGCTGGTACATCAAAGTGGCTTGTCTTTCAAAGATTTTTAAAGGAAAAATATCTCTTACAACAATTTTTATTAAAAAGTAAAGGAATTAAGCTAACAAATCTGCAAATGAGCAAAACATTTGTTTAAGATCTTTTTGATATAAAAGTGTTGTCAGCTTCATGAGAAATATATACTGAGTTCATCAAAAATGTGCAGTTTAACATTCTTCTCCTTACCATAAACAAAATGTTTATCAACACACTGCTCACTACAACCTATTTGCATTTGATACCAATTTTATAATTAATACTGTGCAAAATTAATTTACAAGTAGAGGTGCATTATTTCCTGAAGCAATTAAATTTTCTTTTTTTATTGGTATGCATCTGATCACAGACCCTGTACTGGGTATACTATGATAGGTAAAGAAAGCTTATGTGCCTCTAGCTGATAATCCCATTTTGAGAAGTGTTTACCATATTTAATGTATAAAACACAAGTTTTACACTGTCTTTAGTCTTTTTCTGCTGAAAAGCTTTAAAGAAAATGTTTGCTTTTTTCCTAAAATCTTATCATGGTTATTTGCTTCTACTGTGATTGATGCTTTTCAATAAATCAAGATAATTCCAAACGTTGAACTGATCTAGAATTGAGCTAATTCTTTGTGTGACTGATGTGACATACAGGTTGGATCTACCTGCTGTTGAACCTAATACTAGTACAAGTCTTATGTACCCATCATACTGTCCAATTACCACATACTTCCTGGTACTAATATCATAGCTTCAGGTCACTGGTTCAAGAGCTGAGAATATCGTACCATGTGTGAGTTACTGGTAATGTAATATGCTATATGTTGTAAGGATTTGTCAGCTCTGTTAATTGACCGATCTGGTTGCCAGAAGTATTTATATATTTCAAGTGATTTTAATCACAAGTAATAATATTATTGTAATGATATTTCTAGGTAAGGAAATTGGTGTTTTATACTGTAATCTACACAGCCCAGTGCCCCTGAAACATTGTTAGATGTCCCTGTGTTTTTATTTCCCAAGAAATAAAGATTAAAAAAAAAGGATTCTCAATGTTCAATATCATGTTACACAGCTGTGAACCACAGTCAAAAATGTATTGACCTACACTGTACATGTTTAATGAAAAAGAAATTGAAAGAGTCAAGGGTAGATAATTTAATGAAAAATGGTGTATGACCATTAAGGATGAGAGCCAGTTATATTTTATAATAATACCTTTATTTCATCTTTATTGAAAACAACTCCCAAAGTTTATGGTTAAGAGTTGAAATGAGAAGCTTTTCATGGAAAATCCAAAAAAAAAATTCATCAAAACCTCTGTTAACAAATTTTGTTTTTTTTTTACAGGAGCAGGACTTTGTGAGACAAGCACGGGAAGCGATGGACATTACCTTGGAGATGATGAACCTGGAAGATGGATGGAAGCTACAGGTTGGCGATAATCTGGAAAATGGCATCGTACACAGTCAGTACTTCAAAAAGTACAACAGGAAAATATTCAGACTACAGGTATGTATCCTATACAAACATAAAGAGTTTTACTTCTGATAAAATACTGTGTAGGTTTCATGGCCAGTCCCTGATTGAACAAAATTTTGTTTAATACAGATTTTATTTTTATTTTTTTCTCTGCAGGCCATCATGAATATGGATCCTAAAAGAATATGGGAGGAATTAGCCTATGGAACAAACAACTCACCTCAGTGGAATCCCACTCTGGTAGAATGTAGAGTAAGTACCAGGTAGAACGTAGAGTGAGTACCAGGTAGAATGTAGAGTAAGTACCAGGTAGAATGTAGAGTGAGTACCAGGTAGAATGTAGAGTAAGTACCAGGTAGAACGTAGAGTGAGTACCAGGTAGAATGTAGAGTAAGTACCAGGTAGAATGTAGAGTGAGTACCAGGTAGAATGTAGAGTGAGTACCAGGTAGAATGTAGAGTGAGTACCAAATAGAATGTAGAGTGAGTACCAGGTAGAATGTAGAGTGAGTACCAGGTAGAATGTAGAGTAAGTACCAGGTAGAATGTAGAGTGAGTACCAGGTAGAATGTAGAGTAAGTACCAGGTAGAATGTGGATAAGTACCAGGTAGAATGTAGAGTGAGTACCAGGTAGGTAGAATGTAGAGTGAGTACCAGGTAGAATGTAGAGTGAGTACCAGGTAGAATGTAGAGTGAGTACCAGGTAGAATGTAGAGTGAGTACCAGGTAGAATGTAGAGTGAGTACCAGGTAGAATGTGGATAAGTACCAGGTAGAATGTAGAGTGAGTACCAGGTAGAATGTAGAGTGAGTACCAGGTAGAATGTAGAGTGAGTACCAGGTAGAATGTAGAGTGAGTACCAGGTAGAATGTGGATAAGTACCAGGTAGAATGTAGAGTAAGTACCAGGTAGAATGTAGAGTGAGTACCAGGTAGAATGTAGAGTGAGTACCAGGTAGAATGTAGAGTGAGTACCAGGTAGAATGTAGAGTGAGTACCAGGTAGAATGTAGAGTGAGTACCAGGTAGAATGTAGAGTAAGTACCAGGTAGAATGTAGAGTGAGTACCAGGTAGAATGTAGAGTAAGTACCAGGTAGAATGTAGAGTGAGTACCAGGTAGAATGTAGAGTGAGTACCAGGTAGAATGTAGAGTAAGTACCAGGTAGAATGTAGAGTGAGTACCAGGTAGAATGTAGAGTAAGTACCAGGAGGGGATGTGAATCCTTTGTAGTGAAATATATATATTGATGTTGCATGCCTTGTTGTTACTTAATTGACTTGGTTTATATGATCATGCTGTATAATTATAGATAAAGAATTAAAATATCCTCTTTTTCTCTGTTTTTTTCACAACAGACACTTGAAACCATAGACGATAATACAGAGATTAGCTACAATATTGCTGCTGAGGCAGCAGGTGGATTAGTTACCGCCCGTGACTTTGTCAATGTGCGTTGCTGGGGCGTAAGGAATGGTGTCTACCTCAGTTGTGCATGTGGAACAACATATGCAGATATGCCTCCTCAGAAAAAATATGTCAGGTATTGTTTACATATATTTACATTGATATTGTATAGATGTATACTGCTTAGAGATTGATGGAGATTTAATCTGGCCCACAAAGTATTTCATATGTTTTGGCTGCTATGGTGTCTTATTTTGATTTGAAACACAAAGTTGTTGGTGAAACCTAATCTAGAACTGCCTAGCTTAATTTACATTTTAAGTTTATTTACATGTAAGGGTACATATTTTTAAAAAATGCTATAATGCTGTAGGTATTAAGTGACATTGGAAGTCCTATTTTTATCACAATGTTTGTTTAATTGACTTTTTTACATAAATTACAGATAAGTATTCTTTTTCTTTATTGTTTCAAGTACTTATGCTTTTTTTTTTATACTTAAAAGCTTTGAGTTACTTTGTTGTCAAAGTTTCAAGTATAATATTTACTCAAAAAAAACAAGAAAAAGGAAAGAAATACCCCTAGCATACTGAGGGAGATTTCAGATATCTCGTTCACCATCATCAGGTATTGTAAAATCAGTCATTTTTACGGGGGGTTATTTTCTATGAATTCACGGGTGCTCTGATTCCACAACTTTATATGTCCACAAAAAGATAAGCAGATAACATGATCTTCAGTACAAAAAGATTTACGGCATTATAAATAATCCACAAAATTTAGTGCCAATAAAAAGGAATATTTTCATAAAACAACAAAACTTACAGAAGTATTATTCACAGTATGTTCAGTTCAATTGTGAAGATGGTCTGTATGAAGCGTCCCTTGGAGAGTGAAAGCCACTAATTCAAGTTGTTCTTTAGTATCTTTTTATGTCTATATAATTTGATGTAGATTGACTCGTCTTACCAGGCTCAAGGTAATAACACAAAATATTGCTAACCTAATTCATCCTACAATTATCCCAGTGAGCCAACATTGTACTTCTGACTCAAAGTCAGGGGGTGGGATTATTACAGGGCAATAAACCCAGTGAGCCAACATTGTACTTCTGACTCAAAGTCAGGGGGTGGGATTATTACAGGGCAATAAACCCAGTGAGCCAACATTGTACTTCTGACTCAAAGTCAGGGGGTGGGATCATTAAAGGACAATAAACCCAGTGAGCCAACATTGTACTTCTGACTCAAAGTCAGGGGGTGGGATCATTAAAGGACAATAAACCCAGTGAGCCAACATTGTACTTCTGACTCAAAGTCAGGGGGTGGGATCATTAAAGGACAATAAACCCAGTGAGCCAGCATTGTACTTCTGACTCAAAGTCAGGGGGTGGGATCATTAATGGACAATAAACCCAGTGAGCCAACATTGTACTTCTGACTCAAAGTCAGGGGGTGGGATCATTAAAGGACAATAAACCCAGTGAGCCAACATTGTACTTCTGACTCAAAGTAAAGGGGATGGGATTATTACAGGGCAATAAACCCAGTGAGCCAACATTGTACTTCTGACTCAAAGTCAGGGGGTGGGATCATTAAAGGACAATAAACCCAGTGAGCCAACATTGTACTTCTGACTCAAAGTCAGGGGGTGGGATCATTAAAGGACAATAAACCCAGTGAGCCAACATTGTACTTCTGACTCAAAGTCAGGGGGTGGGATCATTAAAGGACAATAAACCCAGTGAGCCAACATTGTACTTCTGACTCAAAGTCAGGGGGTGGGATCATTAAAGGACAATAAACCCAGTGAGCCAACATTGTACTTCTGACTCAAAGTCAGGGGGTGGGATTATTACAGGGCAATAAACCCAGTGAGCCAACATTGTACTTCTGACTCAAAGTCAGGGGGTGGGATCATTAAAGGACAATAAACCCAGTGAGCCAACATTGTACTTCTGACACAAAGTCAGGGGATGGGATTATTACAGGGCAATAAACCCAGTGTGCCAACATTGTACTTCTGACTCAAAGTCAGAGGGTGGGATCATTAAAGGACAATAAACCCAGTGAGCCAACATTGTACTTCTGACTCAAAGTCAGGGGGTGGGATTATTACAGGGCAATAAACCCAGTGAGCCAACATTGTACTTCTGACTCAAAGTCAGGGGGTGGGATCATTAAAGGACAATAAACCCAGTGAGCCAACATTGTACTTCTGACACAAAGTCAGGGGATGGGATTATTACAGGGCAATAAACCCAGTGTGCCAACATTGTACTTCTGACTCAAAGTCAGAGGGTGGGATCATTAAAGGACAATAAACCTAGTGAGCCAACATTGTACTTCTGACTCAAAGTCAGAGGGTGGGATCATTAAAGGACAATAAACCTAGTGAGCCAACATTGTACTTCTGACTCAAAGTCAGGGGATGGGATCATTAAAGGACAATAAACCCAGTGAGCCAACATTGTACTTCTGACTCAAAGTCAGGGGGTGGGATCATTAAAGGACAATAAACCCAGTGAGCCAACATTGTACTTCTGACTCAAAGTCAGGGGGTGGGATCATTAAAGGACAATAAACCCAGTGAGCCAACATTGTACTTCTGACTCAAAGTAAAGGGGTGGGATTGTTACAGGGCAAGGATATGAACATTGGTTTATAAATTTATTAAGCAGCAATGGACATTGGTTGGCTTATTACCAATTTACAAGGCATGGGCTTATAGCTGAAATAAATGTGGTACATTTGGTACATGGAATAAGTAAAATGAGAATTACCCATTTCTGTTAAAGCAGGAAAAAATTTTAATCTTCAGAACAAATCGAATGATGTGAGATTTATACATATATGGTAATATGTGAGAAGATGGGCTATTGAAATAAGGCCACAATTCTAAGTTTAAGGGTGGGCATATTAATTGGAAAATGAAAAAAATATAAATAATGATACTATTAAACAGGATCGGTATATCTGGGCTTATTATCAGGTATATGAAAGTTGTGCTAGATATAGGAATTATGTAAACAGGAGATGTTGGATTGTTATTAAAAGAGATATACAGGCCAATTTGACCTGTTTTGATGATGTTATTTTTAATCCTCACTGTTATCTTTTCAGAGGAGAGAATGGTCCAGGAGGAATAGTGTTGAAGGCTCTGCCAGATGATTCCAGCAAATCTGAACTCACCTGGTTTTTAAATTCAAGTCTGAAGGTAATTTTAGGTTTAATGGAAATATTAGGTGTGTTGCTGTAGATATAGATATTTTCATGGGTTTGTGTTATCAACCCACAATCAATGATGATGGTGGACTATTCAAATTGCTCTGCTTGCTCGCTTTTGTTATCGCTATTTCTTCAGAAGTACTGGAGGGATCTTTCTCAAACTGTATTTGTAGGTTCCCCTTGGACTTTAGTTGTGTGCGTTTGATTTGGGCCTGACGAAAAGAAAAGAAAATGGCCGACAGGCAGCCATCTTGGATTTATCGATGAAGTTTGTTATCCCTATTTTTTGAAAAGTAAGAGTTGGATCTCTCTCAAATTTCTTATGTAGGTTCTCCTTGGTATCTAGTTGTGCCCATGTAGTTTTGCAACTCATCAGAAAAACAAAATGGCCAAAAGGCGGCCATCTTGGATTTTGACTTTGAAAGTTTGTTATCACTAATATCTTGAGAAGTACTTGACGGATTTTTTTTAATTCCATATACAAGCTCCTATTGGTCCTTAGTTATGTCTATTTTAGTTTGGGACTGATCAGAAAAAACAAAATGGCCAACAGGCAGCTATCTTGGATTTTGCCTAGTAAAGATTGTTTATGCTATTTCTGAAGAAGTACTAAATGGATATCTCTCCAATTTCATACCTATGTACCCTTTGATCTCTCCTTGTGCTCATTTGCTTTTGGGACTGTTCAGAAGAAAGAAAACGTCATCCAGGTGGCAATTTTTGATTTGGCAGGTGAAGATTATCATTTGTTTCTGCAAAGGAATGATCATATGTCTTATAATTAAGAGCAAAATGGAAAAGAGAAAAGGAGGGAAAAGATCCAACTGTCAAAGAGCATTTAAAGATCAAACAATGGTGGGTGCCAAGATCCATCAGGGATCTCTTGTTTGTTTGGGTAGGATCTCTAAGTCAGCAGTATGTATTTATAAACTGACTGGCCATAATTTTTGTTTACACAGGGCTGGTTCCCTCAGTGGGCAGTACATTTTTATAAACTGACTCTCCATATTTTTTGTTACACAGGGCTGGTTCCCTCAGTGGGCAGTACATTTTTATAAACTGACTCTCCATATTTTTTGTTACACAGGGCTGGATCCCTCAGTTTGCAGTATATTTCTATAAACTGACTCACCATATTTTTTTGTTACACAGGGCTGGATCCCTCAGTGGGCAGTATATTTTTACAAACTGACTCTCCATATATTTTGTTACACAGGGCTGGATCCCTCAGTCGGCAGTAGAACAAGGGCTATCAGGATTCCTTTTAGATTATTTGAAGTACCTGTCACAACGTCTAGAAGAAATCCGTGAGGAGGAGGGGTCCTGATGTCACAAAGCTTTAGATGTCTTTCATTTACATACGGTATCATCTTCTGAGACATTCTGCTAAATAGACAGTGTATAAATCATTTTTGTATCATCATTGCTGGCCTCTGTACAAAGCAATTGGTGTAATTGTCTTAGCATTACAAAATCTATGGTTATCCATGGTATTCTTGTCATCTGTGGTCTGCAATGGGTTATGACTGGCCATCAGAGCATTAAATACTGTGTTAAAACATTTCTCATGTCTTCGTGATCCTAAACTAAGTGAATTCAAAAATATGATCTACTACAACGTTAGAGACATGCATATTTTGTGGTGATTGATGAAGAAAGTAAGGATAGAGTTTACAAGACTGTGACAGATGTGTTTATTCTCCTGATAAAGGGAGAGATCCAATGATGTTTTGAGGAATGATATATAACACAGTATTCTGTCCTTGTAACACCCTTCACTATCAACTGTTCACTAATGTGTACAAGATCACACTTTTCTTGGCATGAACAATTCTGATATCTGAAATATATACAATGGACACAAATCTGCATTATTTTACATAGGAAGAAAGTTATTGATATACTTTAAAATCATTTATATTTCTGGTTGTTTGATTCATTTTATGGGTATTATTAATCCAAAAATTCATGACTAAAATGAAATATTGACAATTTGACATGAATTTTTAAAAATCATGATAGATTGTGGAGTACATTGTATTTATCATTTATCAAAACATGAAAATAAAAAACTCCACGATGGTTTCACTATTGATTTTGCATGTTTATGTCATTCTGGCCGTTGAAGGTTGTGTAACACAGAGAAAGGGAAAGATGTAAAAAAAGTTGTTTGTTTTTATTTGCTCTATGTTCTCGCCAAATGAACACAGGATCTTAACTTAATGTGCCCTAAACTGTAAGGGTCATTGCGTACAGATTATTAGATAGTCTGTCTGCCTTGAGTAAAATTACTCCAATAATGGTAAGGTATGCACATTGGTGTAAATTACTAAAGGGAAGTAACTCTTAGATGCTGAAGACCACTTGATATACATGTATGCATTACCTTGTTTTCAGTATTTGCAATAAAAAATTGTGATGAATCATTGCCAATATTTTTTCCGATGGAAGTTTTAAGTAACATTTTTGTCTCTTGCTCAGTTAGAAGCAAATAATGGTGAGCCATTGAAAGTCAGCATTGACAAGTCATTGTCACCATGTGTGACGTGGCGACACCCTACTCAGGGAAAACATTGTAATTGTAATTCTGATCATGACATAGAAAACTGATTTCAAAGCAAAACAATGTCATTCCTATGCACTAGCACAGTATTGATAATTAAACATACACAAAACATCATAAAGAAATTATCCTGTGAGATTTTTCTTTAAATATGTAAGATTGAGTATCACTTGAGTTTATTAATGTAATTAACAGAAGGATGCTAATTATATACAGGTGTGTTTAATCACCTGTTCAATTATTTTTAGATTAGGTAGTATTTTTAAAGTCTATGAATATTGGATAAAATGTTGGGGTAGACATTTGATATCCATTATTAATTTCAGTAGAATATTATAATTATGATGTTTGGTTTTGACAATGCTATTCCATGCTGGTGTGACTTGTCATTTTAGAGCTAGAATTAATTTTTCTTAATTATTTCTTTTTTTTAATTTAGTTATTCATTTTATCAGGGGAAATTAAGGGCAAATTATTTTGTTTACATAGGACACTTTGTTTTAATGAAGATGGTATGATGAAATGAATTTTGATACATGAACTGGTAAACAAAATTTAGTTACCCGGTCAGTTTCAGCATCTAAAAGTACTAAGATTAAAGTATGTTATGGTTAATGGTCACTTCAGCTTGGTGTGGCTGTGAGATTTTGTCAGAATGAATTGAAATAAGATTAATCCTTCATTTTCTGTTCTAACGCATCAGAACTACTTTTAATATTACGTAAAATCAATTAACATGTATTTGTCAATATACATTTACCATAGGTATATCTGAAACATTGATACATAGCATCACTCTTGTATAAACTAAATTATATACAAGCTATGACCTGTATAAACTGAATGAATAGAAAGTACATTCAAACTTGCCTATAAAGGCCACATAGGGAAGCAGAAGTAAGAGGCCTGTATAGACAGGTGGCCTTTATACAGGTGTTTAATGGTCACGATTATCACAATCCAGACAGCTGATACTAGTGCCTTTTCTGTACAGGATTTCCTTTCAGTCCTTTACCCTAGTGAATGGATATAAAACATCCAATCTTTACTAATTATCAAAACTAGAACAAAATAGCTAAATCCCCTCAGAACATTTTTTACACTAATCATATCCATTTTACTAGCTAATAATTTTATCCTTAATTTTGTAGCTAGCGTACATGGTTACAAAAGATATAGAATACTGCTGACAGTGATTTTTACCATGGAGGAGATGATTCTGTGTCCTCCTTCATCTCTGTGTTTCATTTTTTTCAATGTCTGTTAAAAAAAATACTATGACAATCGACAACAAAAGCATGACTTTGCGTTTGAAGAAAAAAAATGAAGTTGAACTCATTTTTGTTGAATGATGTATGTGCATTTTATGTTAAAACTTTCGCTGTTTTTAAATGTACCATTAAGTGTGTTAATTTTACAAGCTTGTGTGATTCAGACTTCTGTTCTAAATTGACTACCAAGGCATGTTCCATAGTGTCAGCTGATACAGGTGGGTCTGACCAATGTGTTGTGCCCCACACAGTGTCAGATTAGAGAATTTAATCTGACCAATATGATGCGTACCACAGGGTGTTGGATTAGACTTTTTTTACTCTTTGTAAGTTCCTCTTTTGACCATGACATAAAAAAGATATATCATTTCATAAATCATCTTTTTAGTTGATGCCAAGAAACAGTGTTCAGATGTTTCATTTTGAATTTTTGATCATCAACAAGGCATCCATTTTGGCAAACAACCATGAAAAAAAAAATTTAGAATTGTAGTATTTTCACATACTATGTAGATGTTTTGTTGTATTTTAAGTTTTGTAACAGTCACAGATTTATTATCTGTGTGATATCATAGGTGTTCTATTTATAAATATGACCAGGTGCTTTGTATATTTACTTTATCAAGACCATGTAAAAGATATACATTGTATGTAATATCATATTTATTTTTCAATAAACCCCATTGACAACCACTTTTAATTGCTTCTTACTGAAATTGGAGAGTAAATTTTGAATTTATTCTTCCTGTCTTAAAAATTGTATGGCCAGAACAAAAAATTGGCCAATTAAGGAAATATTTTATTATGTATATGAATCACATAGTCAAATCAACAGAATAGATTTAATGAGATATTACCTTATATGGTATACACAATATCATTGGGAAGAGTATTGTCAGATTTGTGTTTTATCATGCAGTATACACAATTTATTATAGAAGTATTGTTAATTTTATGTGCTAGTATGTACTCTCTATGACATTTGCCTTTACTGTGAAGATATAAATTTTTGTTGATTTCTTGGGTATTCTTATTCCACCAATTAATATATCCACCAATAGATAAAATTAGCTAAAGTAGATTGATGAGACTATATTTATCCACAAAATTAAGTGTCCACAAACTTGTGATTTCAAAAATATAGGTAGTTTCTGTGCTGTTAATATGTGATGTTAGTGGGATATTCAGGACAAGTTTGTATTTCATAAGACACTTTTGAAGAAAATTGTACAAAACTATCTGCTTATGTTCTTATGGAAACACCTCAATTTACCATTTAAATAAACAGATGATGTTTAATTTTGCAAAAATTTATTAAAGATCTGGGTAGATCGATTTACAAATGTTTGCATGGCCTAGATTGCATCACAATGGGTTGTTGAGTTGTTGTTAGTCAAATTGAATGAAATATTTATGTAAATTATAAAATCAACAGAAAATAAGACTATTGAAGTGATAAAATTTCAACTCCATCAAAAATTTTAGTTAACAGAATACACACTTGTGTATTTACCCAATACACTGCATAAAATCTATGATCCTGTGATCCTGGTTCTGGATTTCCTGATATGCTATATGTAGATGGTTAAATTGATATTGGCTGGGACTTTTCCCAACAAATTTGCCTGCCCAAACTGATCATAAGAGAGATATTTTGATGCTAACTATTGTTTTTGAAGTTATTAGAATGAGATTTTAACAGGTACAGAACAGCCAGAATTTTTGCAACTTGGGTGGAATATCCCTGTAAGTATGTAAAAACACTATAGAACATGATAGCTATATCCCATTCTCAAATATTATGACATTTTGTTTTGTTAAAGTGTTAAAATATATCAAACATTGGAAAGTAAATTTAAAAGGTAGATTTTTGGGGGCAGTTAATGAAGAGATTAATTTATCTGGCCAAGCTTTTTATGTGATTTGAAGGAATTATCTGAGGCTTATATAATATATATCTTTTCCAAATTATTCCAAATTTCCAAGATAATCATTTTAGGCAAATGGTGATGTTGGGGAAAAAATATTAAGAAAACAAGCAATAGTGCACTTGATCAAGGGAGATAACTCTGATGTGTTATTTAAAGGTAAACCAAAACTACCTGTCAACCTTGTGTGTGTATATATACATATATATATATAGTATTTTGAGTTTTTCTTTTTTAGACTTAATGTTTTCCACACATTTGGTTTATATTATAAATGAAATGGGATAAGCAATATTTCTGAAGGTAGCACCTAAAAATGAACCATATTTATGTGTTCTTGAAAGCTACTAACATGTTAGAGATTGTTAATACCCAGTTGTATTGTGTTTTACCATTCGGTATAAACATCTATGTCAGACAGAACTGTGATATTACTAATGATGAAGTCTTTTGTGTATTCATATGTTCTTTGTATATTAAATATTCGTCTAAGAAGAAATAGACAATAAAAATGTCATTATTACCACATCATGTTTTCTTATTTCTCATCTGAAGAAAGGTCACCAACAATGATAATTTGTTCATTCTGCTGTCAGAAAAGAAAGCAACAGCGTGTAACACTTTGTATTATCTTTTCTTGTTTTCTATTACAAAATATGAATCTGGTAGAGGAACTTCAATATCACAGGAAAGAGAAAGTTATTTACATCTGTCACTCAGTCTATATTGATATCATAGGAATGAGAAAATGATCTACATCTGTTACCTTAGATGATACCAATATCACAGAAAAGAGAATTCTGTCTACATCTGTCCCTCATAGTTGATATCAATATAACAGAGGTCATTTTTCATCTCAATGAATATACGAAAGAAAAAACTTTCAATATATATTTTATTATCAAGATGCACTGACATAAATTTATAATCTCCTCTCTTCATCGTTAAAGCAGAAGACGCTTACTCTGTTAGAACACCTGGTCTTACTCTCTTTGTACTCCGTAGGAGGTTCCGTGTAAACATTTCTTTCATTCATATTTTGCAGTAGTTTTAAGGAAGTTGAGCTTGGATTATGGTTATGTTGAAATTTTGGAATTATTTTTCTTTTCAATCGAAGTTCATTAAAGGACGAATACCATATGCAAGAAAAGATTATTCAGATGGAGAATTTGAAAGGGCTTAGATATCCGTCCATGATTATATTTTTTCCGTGTCATTAATTAACAAGGTGACATGATAATTTTCGCTGAATGATTTGTAGACCAAATTATTTCAAAATAGAATATACCAAATGAAATTCGGGGTTAATCAGACTGATTAATCTGTAAACTTTGGTGGCAAAGGTGTCAACATATTACAGACTTATAACGAGCTTATGTCATTATATATACCACAGTTCATAATAACCTTTTGTGGTGTATTTATATTCCACAGGGACCTGTGACATTTCAGCCTCTCAGGACCCACAGAGCAAAACTGATACTTCACTTTGTTTTTGAAATAACATTCGGGTCCCTGTTGGCGATTTTATTTAAAGGTTTAACCCATATTAATCTGAAATATCCTGTTGACCCAATCTTTTCATTTTTTCACCAGACGCCGAAAGATTAAACGGATTAGATACAGTGCCCTCAACTAATCCCACACAATAGCGTAAAATATAGGTAAATTGAAAGCTGAAAACAATTAGAATTATGTCCATATCTACGTCATTAAGCACATACACACATATTCTGATCCGATGATAGCAACAATGTTCTCAGTTGACGATGACATGAATTTACCAAAGCTATAAAAACGAATGAAACCATTTCGGTCATTATACGAACATCGACAGGACGGAGGATTAATACATCTCGATCATAATTTGACACTAAAACAAGGAAAATGTCAAACAGTATGTTCAAGATATTTGTGTATGGGACTCTGAAGAGAGGCCAGCCCAACAATAAATTGATGGAGGGAATATTTGACGGTGAGGTCACGTACCTTGGGAAGGGCGTGACCGGCAAGGAATACCCTTTGGTGATAGCGGCTGCCGCGTGGAATTTACCATGTATGTTGGCAGTGGAGGGAACTGGCAAAGTAAGCAAATTATGTATTGAACTGATGAAATCCAATATGAACATAATCTTTGCAGGTGTTTCTTTTAAAAAAAGCTGTTTAAATTGATTTAATATTATGTATGATATTTATGCATCCTGTGATATTCCAATCCAAATTGTTATCTGTGATATCTTGCTTTCTTACTACAGGTTTACTACAGGTATGTATCTACAATATGTAACTTTTAACTAACGCATATATACTGTATTTTACTAACAAGAGGACCATATGGAAGATTATCCGTTGGCTAAATATGTAATCCTCAGAAAATAAAGTTTATTATTATTATTGTTATAGATAACTGGCCTTCAGAGAAAAAAAATTATTATTAATAGAAAAGTCTCTCGATGAATAAGATATCACTATAACCTGTTTTTCTCCATAGACAGGAATGTCATGTAAAAGTATGTTATATTAAATTGTCTCCTGAGACGAGAAGTCATGTATACAGGTGATCCAAGAAGATGTATCAATAGGTGGTCTTTAAAGACAAGATATTGTTATAGTCAGGTGATCTCCATAGACAAGATATTGTTGTAGCCAGGTGATCTCCATAGACAAGATATCGTTGTAGACAGGTGATCTCCATAGACAAGATATCGTTATAGCCAGGTGATCTCCATAGACAAGATATCGTTGTAGCCAGGTGATCTCTATAGACAAGATATCGTTGTAGCCAGGTGATCTCTATAAACAAGATATCGTTGTAGCCAGGTGATCTCTATAGACAAGATATCGTTATAGCCAAGTGATCTCTATAGACAAGATATCGTTGTAGACAGGTGATCTCTATAGACAAGATATTGTTGTAGCCAGGTGATCTCTATAGACAAGATATCGTTATAGCCAAGTGATCTCTATAGACAAGATATCGTTGTAGACAGGTGATCTCTATAGACAAGATACTGTTGTAGCCAGGTGATCTCTATAGACAAGATATCGTTATAGCCAAGTGATCTCTATAGACAAGATATCGTTGTAGCCAGGTGATCTCTATAGACAAGATATCGTTACAGCCAGGTGATCTCTATAGACAAGATATTGTTGTAGCCAGGTGATCTCTATAGACAAGATATCGTTATAGCCAAGTGATCTCTATAGAGAAGATATCGTTGTAGACAGGTGATCTCTATAGAAAAGATATTGTTGTAGCCAGGTGATCTCTATAGACAAGATATCGTTATAGCCAAGTGATCTCTATAGACAAGATATCGTTGTAGACAGGTGATCTCTATAGACAAGATATTGTTGTAGCCAGGTGATCTCTATAAACAAGATATCGTTATAGCTAAGTGATCTCTATAGACAAGATATCGTTATAGCCAAGTGATCTCTATAGACAAGATATCGTTGTAGACCGGTGATTTCCATAGCAGGTGGTCATTACAGACAGGAGTTTCCTTTAAACATGGTGTTTTTACAGACAGATATTCATCATAGGTAACAGATGCAGCAAAACCTTTATCATGAGATCACTTTCAGGAATTTTCTAGTCTAGAAAATGGTCTCTTGCGACAGGTGGTCTCTTTTGACAGACTCATGATAATACCACCTTAGTGTTCTTTTGAAGTGCTCTTTTGACATGGTTAAACGATAGAGATGATCCCTCCGAAGGGTTCCTAGTTCGAACCCCAGCGTTGGCAGATTGTTTTTCGTTACTCCTTCCTGTTACAGTTTTGATGCTGTTGACCACTCTAAGAGTAGCAGCTTCACGTAAAGGAGATTGAGTTGTGAATATGGACCACCTGACTAGTTTCAGCTTCGGTGGGGATTTCCCTTAAATTGAGTAATAGAGTGTCTGGCTAGAGGCCAGAGAGCTGCTAGTTTAAACCCAAGCGTTGGTAGGATGTCTTTCCTATTACCCTTCAACAGACTTGGCTTGATTTAATCAAAATTGAAATCATCCGTTTTTCAGAAGATTCAAGGTGATGTATTTGAAGTTGACGAGGAAATGCTTAGCTTCTTGGATGGGTTTGAAGGGCATCCAGATTTTTATCGACGAAGGCAAATAATAATTCAGCTGATGAAAGATCGAAATGGGCAGAATCTTGACCCTCCCAATGTTCTTACCTGTTGGTGTTATTTCTATCTCAAGTACGATCGCTCATATCTTACCCTGCCTTTCCTGGACGACTACGATAGCTGGGGACCTCATGGACTCGTGTATGATGAACGGTAAACCCACAACTTTATTGATGATGTTCAAGGAATTTTCACCATTTGATTATGAAATCAGATCAAAGTAAAATTATGAAGGGTACTTTGCTATATTTAAGAAATATTTCAAAATAATCAAAAATCAAAACTTGATTTTTTCTGTTAAAATGTGGAAATTTGTAATTATTTTTGTGTATATCTCTGTTCTTTTGATTTCTGATAGGAGAATAATAGAATTTTTATTGTATTATTTACAATCTTAGTGTTTACAGACTTTCATGGTTTTACAGACATGAATCAAAAATTTTTTCCATAGTCCATACCATCCCAAAAATCCGCAGGTACCATACAGCAGTAAGATGTGTTGTCCAAAAAGAATTCTGTGTTTTGTTTTTGTTTTTCATTGAAGGGAGCTAGAAGAAAACACCAATGAAGTGAAAGAAACAACGGCCAGCTGACATGAAAAGGAGAAAACTTTAAAAAAAAAAAAAAAAAAAAAATTAAATGCAAACTCTCCTTTCCATGAAGAATCAGGTGAAACTTTCCTCCAGAAATTCAACAGAACTTCAGATATAGAGATTTAATCTTCTCATGAAAGCAAAACAAACGATAATAATGATAAAATTCTGTTTAATGCAGGAGTTCTTTTTTACGCAGGATTAGTTTACACTGATATTTATAGAATGAGATATAGATGAACATTTATTCTATTTTTGACAGCTTATTTTACAAATAAATGTTTTGTTATATTTCTGAAGTTCTGGTACACGTACCATGTTTAACATATAGAAGACGACCATCTTAAAGATTTAGGACCAGATGTTTAATTCTTTTCAAATTTTGAAATAAGATTTTAACAAGTTACAAATCTATAAAGGTTCTTTTTCTTTGATTTAAATATTTAAAAACTTGCATTTGTATAATTACATTTTTCATCAACATCATTATCAGATATGGTGAGTGAGGTAGGATGAACTCATTTAATCAGTAATCAGTAACGTATGTGAACTAGATTTGATGTTTCAACATTCATGAATGAATGAAAAATCAATTAAACATTACCACGTAACTCAATCATTAAACACAAATTGTTGATAACAGCTGGTTTACTTGCTTGTCCATAATAATTTTGAGCAAAAAAAAGAATTATATTTGATATTTCTAATTGTTGGGTAGAGTGCTTATTCATGGATATGCATTATGACAAGTCTTAGATGACTGAACTGTGTAATGAATTAAAGTCATCTAGTAATAAGCCCATGTCTGATAATAAACCCATCCATTTCTATTAGTTTTAGAAGAAATGCCTATATGATATTATTGCCTTAAAACTGGTGAGAAACAAGCCGAGGGTGTCTACCTTCTGGACTTGTTGTAGAGTAAATTCACTTCCTGTGTTATGACTGATGTATCTGTGAAGTGTGCATAAAACATTGAAAAAACTACGTGTATTTTTTTTTCTCTTTGAGTAACTGTGCAGCAGGGCATAAACAACTCCTTCATTAAATTGCATTGTATTTTTTTTGTAAATCTTTTTCCATTGCTCCTAGGGAGATAGATCATATTACATGCTATATAATGTTTTCACAGATAAGAAAATGTCTGCAAGACATGGATGCCCACAACTATATACATACTACAAGCATGGTGTTTAAATAAAGTTGCAGAAGTTGTCAAATATGCCTTTGATGCTTTTAACCTTGATTGATGGCCATCTTACCAGTATGATGATCAGATGTAGAACTTGACATTATGACAGTTCAGGGTAAATATGTACCAAATCTGTTGTGAGGTTCTTCAAAATGAAATGACAGTAATTGAAAGCAGGACACAAAAAACAAGAAGAACAGAAATCGCCAACACTTATGTCCCCAGGTAATGGTAGAGGCATGTACAACGATAACTTCATTTGGATTATCAAAATATATAATATAAGAGCTATATAGCAATGCTGAATCCAATTCTTTTTTTTTTTTTCATCTGCGACCTTGACTTTGGGATCTGATGAAACAATTTTAGATATTGTAGTCCTTTACATCTATACAAGGTTTCAATAAAATGCATCTCAAAAGTAGATGGAATGACAACCAGCTTTCCCTCACTGGTAAATACACAGATTGTTGTATGTACCTTATGAAGGAGTTTTGTTAAGTTTCGTCTCAATTTGTTAAAGTTGCATAGACATATTGCTTAATACAATCTTATAGCGGAACAGTTCAGAACCTAGCCTGAAGGGCCAAGCTAGCTATTGGCACACCATGGCATCCATGGTCTGAAAATTGCTACTAGTCATGAAAGATGGAGAAGATTTTGACCATATTTTGTAAGAAGCATCCACGGGGCTCTAAAGCGAAAATGGAACAATTTCTTTAAAATCCTACTCCTCCTGTAGAAATGATTTAATTTTGCCCAAATTTTGTCTGGGGAAAGAGGAATCAATTGTGTATAAATGGTGGTCTTCGCCCCCAGGGTTGTGAAGGACAGGGCCAAATAGGGAAATAGGGCAAGTTTTTCTAAATCCTACAGCTTTTGTAGGAATGATTGGATATTGTCCAAATTTGGTTTGAAGCATTATTTGGTGAAAGGTTATCAGTGTTTTATAAATGGTGGGTCTCAGTGCAGTAGGGACAGGGCCCAATAAGGGAAATAGAGCAAATTATTTAAAATCCTACTTCTCCTGCAGGAATGAATGGATATTGCCCAAATTTAGTCTAAAGGTGAAGGGGGACCATTTCTTTGTAAACGATTCATCCTGGTATCCTGCATGGAGCAGGAGAAATGGGGGCCCAATTGAGGAAATGCAAGTTCTTGAAATTCCTTCTTCCAATATATTGTCAATGTTTGGTCTGAAGCAATTTTCATTAATAGTGAATCTGACTTCTGTTTGACCACAAGTCTAGGACCCAATAGGGAAAGTATGTAAGACATTTTTAATCATATTTGAAATTCTTTATTAAATTGCTGAATGTTTTCGATCCCTTTGAATTTTCGTTTCAGTCCCCTTCGAAGTTTTAAAATTTAAGCCATTAGCATCCCTAACAAGTCCTAGATGGATTAAACAGTTGTATAGTACAATTTATTATTGGGCTTTACTTTATATAATTTGAAATTTGTATTGAAAGGTGTTCTTCACTTGTTATTTGTACAATCACAGAAAACTTGTCACAAAGACAGGATCCCGAGACAGAAGTTATCAATACAGCTTCTTTTCAAAAGTTGTTTCCTATGTCAATTGTGATATTTTTTTGATGTTACAGAGAGGAATTTAATGATTTACAAGATATGTAATCAATATTTTACCTAATTAATACAGTGAAGCCTGCTTAATATCATGTTCTGTTTGTAATACATTATGTATCCAAGCAAGGATTTCTTCAATGAAATAACAATACAGAGTGGTTGCTGTATAATTGTATATGTCAATAAATGAAAGAAAACCAGAAATGGCGGTCTTTTCATTATCTTTAATCATTCATCAGCACGTAATGTGGATATTTCATCAAAATAATTCAAATCTGATGCAAAAATTATGTTTAAATAATAAACTTAAACAATGATTACCTGCAAGCTTCGTTAATGTGTAGGCCAAGGTATAGTTTGAAGCAGACAATCAGGGGACATAATTTACATCAATAGTTTTCATTTTCACATAATAAATGCAGAAATAATATTAGTATCATTATCAGCTTCTAGCATTTTTGGAAAGTAAAAAATATTCAGCGTCCAAATTCTTTCCATCAATTAAATACTTCTTTTCACTCATGTATTAAGTACAACATGTATGTTACTTAACATGATGAAAAAATTATCCTTTTTGTATATTTATGTTCAAATTCTGATGCGATGATTTTCAATTCAATAGCAGATAATAAGAAAATAATTGACACATGCTTTATCAAACTGTCATTAATGATTGAACCACATTAGTCGAAATAAGCACAATATCATACATACATGTGTGAAACTCTTTTGTAATAGATGTTTAAATTTCATCAAGATAGCACACCACTATAAATATATTTGTATTTTTATCTAAAACAAAAATGAGGTAAGCATTTTCTTGAATATAGTAAGATTGACAAGGATGACAGTATTATGAAATTTCATCAAAATTTGGCTCTTATAGGTACATGCATTACGTATTGTACACAATATCCTGATGTATTTAAACAGAAGAATGCACAAAAAATAATGTTAAAGAATTTTTTTCTTTACATACATATACTTCAAACTCTGAATAAAACGTTTCTTGATCATTTTCTGGATACTTAAAAAAAATTAAGTCCAGCGTCAGCTATCCATTTGTTACTGTATTATTATCAATTTTCTGAAGGATGAAAAGGAACAGTGTAGGCCACATGTGACCCCAAATGCCAATGTAATCCTCTCTAAACCAAAACAGCAGCATGATCTACATATATAAATGTATTTTTAATGAATATATCCACAAATAGATTAGGACAGAAGTGATGAGGTCAGGTAAACATTTTAACGTACGTGTTTACCATCAAGACTGTATACAATCCCTGATATAGTGTTTAAGTGCTGGTGGGTTGCAGTTACAAGATAAGGTGTTTGCATCATTTTTATATAAAGTATTTAAAATACAACAGAAATTTTTAATCTTTACAATTCCATGTAGAGTTTCTTTTTCTAAACTTGAAGGAGGTGGAAGAGGTTGGGGGTTTGGTGCAGGGATCAAACACACTTCATTTACAGTTAGATGTTCATGTTTTCATGTAGAATAACTGCATTTTGAAATCTTTTGAAAAGATCTGTGTTCATTTTTGCTAGTTCAATACAAATCTTCATGGTTAGCTTTCATAACAGTTTGTTATAAATTCAATTTAAAACAGAAGTTCAATTAGTGACTAAATTTTCAAATTTTCACAGCCTTACTAAAATCATCTAACAAACAGGGCATGCCATCAGTTGATGGCAAGTGAGTTACATTGTGTATGATTAAAACACCATTTAATGTTGTATCAAAAAATGACATACACATTTGTGTTACAAGGTTTCGATAATATCAAAGATGGCAAATCTTACATATCATTGAAATAACTTATTATTTAATGTTGTATCAAAAAAGACATACACATTTGTGTTACAACAAGATTTTGATAATATCAAAGATCAAGGATGGCATATCTTATATATCGTTGAAATAACTTGTTATTATTGATGTATTCAACTGCTTTGCACAAACTAATTAACAAGAACCTACAAGATCAGTGAGTTTCCTACCTTCCACTCGAGTTCTACTTGATTGTAACCTAGATTGATCTGAAATATCCTGTTGACCCAATCTTTTCATTTTTTACCGGGCGGCGAAAGATCAAACGGATTAGATACAGTGCCCACAACTAATCCCCACACAAAAGCGTAAAATATAGGTAAACTGAAAGCTGAAAACAATTAGAGTTATGTCCCTTCTATCTACGTAGTTATAAACATACACACATATTCTGATCCGATGATAGTAACGATGACATGAATTTACCAAAAGCTATGAAAACGAATGAAACCATTTCGGTCATTTAACGAACATCGACAGGACGGAGGATTAATACATCTCGATCATAATTTGACACTAAAACAAGGAAAATGTCAAACAGTATGTTCAAGATATTTGTGTATGGGACTCTGAAGAGAGGCCAGCCCAACAATAAAATGATGGAGGGAATATTTGACGGTGAGGTCACGTACCTTGGGAAGGGCGTGACCGGCAAGGAATACCCTTTGGTGATAGCGGCTGCCGCGTGGAATTTACCATGTATGTTGGCAGTGGAGGGAACTGGCAAAGTAAGCAAATTATGTATTGAACTGATGAAATCCAATATGAACATAATCCTCCTTAATGTTTATCTTAAAAAAGTAATTGTTATGTCTGAAAAATATATCTATATACATATGCTATCGGTACAGGAAATAATCAATCAGTTATAATGGTCTCCAGAGAGTATAGGTCGTTACAGAATAGTGATTCCAATAGGAAAGAGGTCATTGTGGAATGTCGACCTCAGTTAATGGGAATTGATCATAGACCAGTTATCTTCATAGATAAGTGGTCATCATAGGCAGTGAACTTCGTGCCAAGGGAGACAGCAAGTAATCTCCACGATCACTACAGGCAGGTGTTTTTTCATAAAAAGATTTTGTTATAGACAAAACTTCAACAGTCAATAGCAGGTATCAATTAAGAATTTTTTATTATTAAAAGATAAGTCTCTCGATGAATAAGATGTCACTATAACCTGTTTTTCTCCACAGACAGGATTGTCATGTAAAAGTATGTTATATTAGATTGACTCCTGAGACGAGAAGTCATGTATCAATAGGTGGTCTCTGTAGACAAGATATTGTTATAGCCAGGTGATCTCTATAGACAAGATATTGTTATAATAAGATGGTCTCTATAGACAAGATATTGTTATAATAAAATGGTCTCTATAGACAAGATATTGTTATAATAAGATGGTCTCTATAGACAAGATATTGTTATAATAAGATGGTCTCTATAGACAAGATATTGTTATAATAAGATGGTCTCTATAGACAAGATATCGTTGTCGCCAGGTGATCTCCTTAGACAAGATATTGTTATAGCCAGGTGATCTCTATAGACAAGATATTGTTCAAGCCAGGTGATCTCTATAGACAAGATATTGTTATAATAAGATGGTCTCTATAGACAAGATATTGTTATAATAAGATGGTCTCTATAGACAAGATATTGCTATAATAAGATGGTCTCTATAGACAAGATATTGTTGTAACCAGGTGATCTCTATAGACAAGATATTGTTATAATAAGATGGTCTCTATAGACAAGATATCGTTGTAACCAGGTGATCTCTATAGACAAGATATTGTTATAATAAGATGGTCTCTATAGACAAGATATTGTTGTAACCAGGTGATCTCTATAGACAAGATATTGTTATAGCTAGGTGATCTCTTTAGAAAAGATATTGTTGTAGCCAGGTGATCTCTATAGAAAAGATATTGTTGTAGCCAGGTGATCTCTATAGACAAGATATTGTTATAATAAGATGGTCTCTATAGACAAGATATTGCTATAAAATGGTCTCTATAGACAAGATATTGTTATAATAAGATGGTCTCTATAGACAAGATATTGCTATGAAATGGTCTCTATAGACAAGATATTGTTATAATAAGATGGTCTCTATAGACAAGATATTGCTATAATAAGATGGTCTCTATAGACAAGATATTGTTATAATAATATGGTCTCTATAGACAAGATATTGTTATAATAAGATGGTCTCTATAGACAAGATATTGTTATAATAAGATGGTCTCTATAGACAAGATATTGTTGTAGCCAGGTGATCTCTATAGAAAAGATATTGTTGTAGCCAGGTGATCTCTATAGAAAAGATATTGTTATAGCCAGGTGATCTCTATAGAAAAGATATTGTTCTAATAAGATGGTCTCTATAGACAAGATATTGCTATAATAAGATGGTCTCTACAGACAAGATATTGTTATAATAACATGGTCTCTATATACAAGATATTGCTATAATAAGATGGTCTCTATAGACAAGATATTGTTATGATAAGATGGTCTCTATAGACAAGATATTGCTATGATAAGATGGTCTCTATAGAAAAGATATTGTTATAATAAGATGGTCTCTATACACAAGATGTTGTAATAGTAATATGGTCTCTATAGACAAGATATTGCTATGATAAGATGGTCTCTATAGACAAGATATTGTTATAATAATATGGTCTCTATCGACAAGATATTGTTATAATAAGATGGTCTCTATAGACAAGATATTGTTATAATAAGATGGTCTCTATAGAAAAGATATTGTTATAGCCAGGTGATCTCTATAGACAAGATATTGTTATAGCCAGGTGATCTCTATAGACAAGATATTGTTGTAGCCAGGTGATCTCCATAGACCGGTGATTTCCATAGCAGCAAAACCTTTATCATGAGATCACTTTCAGGAATTTTCTAGTCTGGAAAATGGTCTCTTGCGACAGGTGGTCTCTTTTGACAGACTCATGATAATACCACCTTATTGTTCTTTTGAAGTGATCTTTTGAAATGGTTAAACGATAGAGATGATCCCTCCGAAGGGTTCCTAGTTCGAACCCCAGCGTTGGCAGATTGTTTTTCGTTACTCCTTCCTGTTACAGTTTTGATGCTGTTGACCACTCTAAGAGTAGCAGCTTCACGTAAAGGAGATTGAGTTGTGAATATGGACCACCTGACTAGCTTCAGTTTTGGTGGGGATTTCCCTTAAATTGAGTGATAGAGTGTCTGGCTAGAGGCCAAAGAGTTGCTAGTTTAAACCCCAGCGTTGGTAGGATGTCTTTCCTATTACCCTTCAACAGACTTGGCTTGATTTAATCAAAATTGAAATCATCCGTTTTTCAGAAGATTCAAGGTGATGTATTTGAAGTTGACGAGGAAATGCTTAGCTTCTTGGATGGGTTTGAAGGGCATCCAGATTTTTATCGACGAAGGCAAATAATAATTCAGCTGATGAAAGATCGAAATGGTCAGAATCTTGACCCTCCCAATGTTCTTACCTGTTGGTGTTATTTCTATCTCAAGTACGATCGCTCATATCTTACCCTGCCTTTCCTGGACGACTACGATAGCTGGGGACCTCATGGACTCGTGTATGATGAACGGTAAACCCACAACTTTATTGATGATGTTAAAGACATTTTCACCATTTGATTATGAAATCAGATCAAAGTAAAATTATGAAGGGTACTTTGCTATATTTAAGAAATATTTCAAAATAATCAAAAATCAAAACTTGATTTCTTCTGTGAAAATGTGGTAATTTGTAATTATTTTTGTGTATATCTCTGTTCTTTTGATTTCTGATAGGAGAATAATAGAATTTTTATTGTATTATTTACAATCTTAGTGTTTACAGACTTTCATGATTTTACAGACATGAATCAAAGATTTTTCCATAGTCCATACCATCCCAAAAATCCTCAGGTACCATACAGCAGTAAGATGTGTTGTCCAATTAGAATTTTTTGCTGGATTAAAATGATTATATTTGAAAGTGTTTTGTTTTTGTTTTTCATTGAAGGGAGCTAGAAGAAAACACCAATGAAGTGAAGGAAACAACAGCCAGCTGACATGAAAAGGAGAAAACTTTAAAAAAAAAAAAAAATGAAATGCAAACTCTCCTTTCCATGAAGAATCAGGTGAAACTTTCCTCCAGAAATTCAACAGAACTTCAGATATAGAGATTTAATCTTCTCATTAAAGCAAAACAAACGATAATAATGATAAAATTCTGTTTAATGCAGGAGTTCTTTTTTACGCAGAATTAGTTTACACTGATATTTATAGAATGAGATATAGATGAACATTTATTCTATTTTTGACAGCTTATTTTACAAATAAATGTTTTGTTATATTTCTGAAGTTCTGGTACACGTACCATGTTTAACATATAGAAGACGACCATCTTAAAGATTTAGGACCAGATATTTAATTCTTGACTAACTTTTCAAATTTTGAAATAAGATTTTAACAATTTACAAATTTATTAAGGTTCGTCTTTAATTTAAATATTTAAAAACTTGCATTTGTACAATTACATTTTTCATCACAATCATTATCAGATATGGTGAATGAGGTAGGATGAACTCATTTAATCAGTAACGTATGTGAACTAGATTTGATGTTTCAACATTCATGAATCAATGAAAAGTCCATTAAACATTACCATGTAACTCAATCATTAACCATAAATTGTTGATAACAGCTGGTTTATTTGCTTGTCCATAATAATGTTGAGTAAAACAATTATATTTGATATTTCTAATTGTGTGATGCTTGAATTAATTTTATAATTTTGTTTAGTGTAAAATGCACTCCATTGGTTGTACATTCAGGAGGTAAGTGATACCAGGAGGCAGTTAACAATTTCTTCAGGACTCTTGACTTACTAAAGTGCAGATGTGAAATACGTGTATTTTACTGGTTCCAGTGTATATGTGGGTGTCCATTTGTATACCGAGGTAAATAATCATGTGAAATTGTTGGGTAGAGTGCTTATTCATGGATATGCATTATGACAAGTCTTAAATGACTGAACTGTGTAATGAATTAAAGTTATCTAGCAATAAGGCCATGTCTGATAATAAACCCATCCATTTCTATTAGTTTTAGAAGAAATGCCTATATGATATTATTGCCTTAAAACTGGTGAGAAACAAGCCGAGGGTGTCTACCTTCTGGACTTGTTGTAGAGTAAATTAATTTCCTATGTTATGACTGATGTATCTGTGAAGTATGTGAATAAAACAATGAAAAAAACTACTTGTATTTTTGCTCTCTTTGAGTAACTGTGCAGCAGGGCATAAACAATTCCTTCGTTTAAGATGAATTTGCATTGTAACTTTTTTGTAAATCTTTTTCCATTGCTCCTAGGGAGATAGATCATATTACATACTATATAATGTTTTCACAGATAAGAAAATGTCTGCAAGACATGGATGCCTACAATTCTATACATACTACAAGCATGGTGTTTAAATAAAGTTTCAGAAGTTGTCAAATATGCCTTTGACACTTTAAACCTTGATTGAAGGCCATCTTACTAATATGATGATCAGATGTAGAACTTGAAATTATGACAGTATTGGGTAAATATGTACCAAATCTGTTGTGAGGTTTTCAAAATGAAATGATATTAATTGAATGCAGGACATAAAAAACAAGAACAGAAATCGCCAACACTTCATTTGGATTATCAAAATATATGATATAAGAGCTATATTGCAATGCTGAATTCAATTCTTTTTATTTATTTTTTTTGATGGCATAAGCGACCTTGACTTTGGGACCTGATGAAACAATTTTAGATATTGTAGTCCTTTACATCTATACAAGGTTTCAATAAAATGCATCTCGAAGGTAGGAATGACAACCAGCTATCCCTCACTGGTAAATGCATAAATTGTTATATGTACCTTATCAGGGAGTTTTGTTAAGTTTAATCTCAATTTGTTAAAGTTGCCCACTTTAGTTGCATAGACATATTGCTTAATACAATCTTATAGCGGAACAGTTCAGAACCTGGCCTGAAGGGCTAAGCTAGCTATTGGCACACCATGGTGTCCAACTGTCTGTCCATCCATCAACTTTTTATGAAAATTGCTACTAGTCATGAAAGATGGAGCAGATTTTGACCAAATTTTGTCAGAGGTACCCACGGGGCTCTAAAGCGAAAATGGAACAATTTCTTTAAAATCCTACTCCTCCTGTAGAAATGTTTTAATTCTGGCCAAATTTTGTCTGGGGGATGATGAATCAATTTTGTATAGAAGGTGGTCTTCGACCCCAGGGTTGTGAAGGACAGGGCCCAATAAGGAAATAGGGCAAGTTTTTCTAAATTCTACAGCTTTTGTAGGAACGATTGGATATTGTCCAAATTTGGTCTGAAGCTTTATAAATGGTCCTACTCCTCCTGTAGAAATATTTTAATTTTGCCCAAATTTTGTCTGGGGGTAGAGGAATCGATTTTGTATAGAAGGTGGTCTTCGACCCCAGGGTTGTGAAGGACAGGGCCCAAAAGGGAGCCCAAAAGGGAAATAGGGAATACAGTGAAGCCCACTTAATATCATGTTCTATTTGTAATATAGTATGTATCTAAGCAACGATTTCTTCAATGAAATAACAATACAGAGTGGTTGCTATATAATTGTATATGTCAATAAATGAAAGAAAACCACAAATGGTGGTCTTTTCATCATCTTTAATCATTCATCAGCACGTAATGTGGATATTTCATCAAAATAATTCAAATCTGATGCAAAAATTATGTTTAAATAATAAACTTAAACAATGATTACCTGCAAGCTTCTTTAATGTGTAGGCCAAGATATAGTTTGAAGCAGACAATCAGGGGACATAATTTACATCAATAGTTTTCATTTTCACATAATAAATGCAGAAATAATATTAGTATCATTATCAGCTTCTAGCATTTTTGGAAAGTAAAAAATATCCAGTGTCCCAACTCTTTCCATCAATTAAATACTTCTTTTCACTCATGTATTAAGTACAACATGTATGTTACTTAACATGAAAAAATTATCATTTTTGTATTTTTTTGTTCACATTCTGTTGCCATGATTTTCATTTTAATAGAATAAAATAAGAAAATAATTGACACATGCTTTATCAAACTGTCATTAATGATTGAACCACATTAGTCAAAATAAGCACAATATCATACATACATGTGTGAAACTCTTTTGTAAAAGATGCTTAAATTTCATCAAGATAGCACATCACTTTAAATATATTTGTATTTTTATCTAATACAAAAATGAGGTAAGCATTTTCTTGAATATAGTAAGACTGACAAGGATGACAGTATTTTGAAATTTCATCAAAATTTGGCTCTTATAGGTACATGTATTATGCATTGTACACAATATCCTGATGTATTTAAACAGAAGAATGCACATAAAATAATGTTAGAGAATTTTTTTCTTTACATACATATGCTTCAAACTCTGAATAAAACGTTTCTTGATCATTTTCTGGATACTGTAGAAAAAATTAAGTCCAGCGTCAGCTATCCATTTGTTACTGTATTATTATCAATTTTCTGAAGGATGAAAAGGAACAGTGTAGGCCACATGTGACCCCAAATGCCAATGTAATCCTCTCTAAACCAAAACAGCAGCATGATCTACATATATAAATGTATTTTTAATGAATATATCCACAAATAGATTAGGACAGAAGTATACTAAGTGATGAGGTCAGGTAAACATTTTAACGTACCTGAAGACTCAGAGTAACATTTTGTTATATACAATTCATATTACAGTAAACATGTGTTGACCATCAAGACTGTATACAATCCCTGATCTAGTGTTTAAGTGCTGGTGGGTAGCAGTTTCAGGATAAGGTGTTTGCATCATTTCTATAAAGTGTTTCAAATACAACAGAAATTTTTAATCTTTAAAATTCCATGCACAATTTCTTTTTCTAAACTTGAAGGAGGTGGAAGGGTTTGGTGTGGGATCAAATTCACTGCATTTACAGTTAGATTTTCATGTAGAAATCTGCATTAAAGCAAATACTTCCTGCTGAAAGAAAATGACCTGTGATTCAAAGTATCAAAAATATTTCTATTGAAAAGAAGATTTTGACTAACATTTTAGATTTGAAATATTTTCTGTCTTTGCTCGATTACTAGTATCAGTGACAAAAATCTACCTTCAAATATGTATTTTTTCAATCAAAGAATTTGTCAAACAGGATAGGTAAGGAAAAAACAGAACACAACAAAACTCTACCTTACACGTCATTTTTTTCTAAAATTGCCTCATGTGAGGCATCAACATGTCTATCAAGGCAAAGTCTAGGTAACGTGGTCTGGGAAAGAGATGCCAGACTGAATATGTTTGTAAAGTTCAAAAGGATAATAACAGGCATTGATGACCATATACCTTGTATGTACTGCCTTCAAGAGTTTGACAGTCAATTAGTCAAAATATTGTTGCCAGTCTTATTTAATATACTGGTGAGGTTTTATTCCCAGTCTTAAACATTCCCTGTCTTCCACACCTTCTTAAAGAAAGGAAAACAATAAGAGAATGAATGGTTGACCTGTGTAGAAAATTTCAGGTGGGGCTAAGTTTTGTCCACAACGAAACAAAGTAATCTTGATTTTAAAAAAACTTGTTCATTTACCTTCAGAATCTCTAATTTGAATGTTAAAAGCAGACTACATTAAATATAATATAGTAATGTTTCAGTAATGGAAATTGATAAGAAATTAATCCATTGAGGAGATGAGACCAATTCATTGACATCAAAATTGCACAGACAATTAATTTTTAGATATAAATATCCAGAAATCAAGTGTAATTCTGTACTCTTCACTTCCAGGTAAGTTACATCCAGAAGCCTTGAAATACTTTTATTCTTCGTAAACAGGTAAAAAAAAAAAATGAAATCAGTATAACAACACTTAAGATTCTAATTAACATTAATTTTTAAAATTAAAACATTTTCAATGCAAGAAATAGTTCTATAGTTAAATGCAAGAAACTGATCATATATGTGAATTCAATTGTCAACTGTGAAACTAAAATAGATAGCCATCGTCAATACTACAATTCTAGAATTCTGACTTTCAAAATTTTCAAATTATTTCAGGTAACATGTATAACACATAACAATATAGAATTACAAGTAATCTTAACATTTTACTAAGTATATAACATCTACTAATGAACAGGTAGCAGTAAACAGTTGATTTGTCAATTTCCTGAAATCCTAGGGACATGTCTGAGATATACAGGTAGAGCAAAATTGTTATAAAAATACTCCCTCACATGAAAAGATATCTATATACATTACGTAACAAATGCAATTGTTATAGAGAAATCAAAATTGTGTAAACAAGCAAATTCTCCTGATTTCTGACTTATGGAAACCATATTTATAAACTTGAAAAAATATGCTTTAAATACTGTAATATCACTAATTTCAACCAAACCTTTTCATAAAAAATCAATTTCTGTACCCCTAAAAATGAATGTTGATGTAACAAAGTACTCCTGTTTCAACAAATCCAACTTGGTATGGCTTCACAACATAAACATGTGTGTAAGGAAATCTACTTCCTGTAAAGTTAGTTTTTGGTGTGTAGACAAGGGTTCATGTTTGTCCAAATAGCTACCATGATCTGCAACCAAAAAGGTTAAATCTTGCAAAGACATGTAACCTTAAGCTAAAGAACAAGAGCTCACGTAGGTGAATCATAAACATACTTCCTTAACTTAGCTCAAACTGATTTTTAAATCATCCATCATCTGTACAGTTATCAACTGTACCAATGACAAAAATTTAAACAAGCTTTCAATAATTGGTCAGAACAAAAAAATAAAAAATTGGTAGATGTCAAAATCCATGATAAAGAATCTCTTTTTGATAACATCTGTGTGCCAGAATAGTGGTTTTTGCAAGCAAGATGCATGACTTCCTCAAGATATGATTCTAGAGCTCTATGTACATGCAAAATATACTTATTATTATAAATCAATCAACAATCAAGATCTGAGTCAATGTAAAATCCTAGCATAGACAGACCAGTTATATATAGCACTAATATAGTTTATCTTCATCAGACACATCTTCTCAGTCTATCATTACACACACAATGTTGTACATAGTACCCAGATTTATCAAAGTGTGATCATTCAATGGTGTAGTACTGTCATAACATAGGAATCACTTATGATGAACCAGGTGTCATCACCATGGCAATGGACCAGCTTCATCACCATGGAAATGGACCAATTTCATAATCATGGCATTGAACCAGCTTCATTATCATAATGGACCAGCTGTGTCTCCATGACAATGAACCAGCTACATCATTATTGCAATGAATTAGTTGCATCACAATGGCAATGAACCAGCTGCACCACCATGGCAATGGACCAGCTACATCATCAAACCAATGAAGCTGCACATATCACCATGTCATGATGTCATCATGACAAGGAATAAACTGTGTTGTCATAGAAATGTACCACCATCATCAACAGAGTCATGGACCAGAGGAATCACCATGGCTTGACAATGAACCAGAGGCATCGATATGTAAATGATTCAGAACCATCAAATGACAATGAACCACATATATCACCATGGTATCATAAGGTTCAGGTAAAAAGAGCCTAATCCTGTCATGAAAATACCGTTGCCATGACAAGTAATGAAATGGTCACATCACCATGACAACCAGCTTTGCAACAATGCAGCACAACATAGCGGCCACCTTTTATCTATATTTTATAGAGCATCAGTCTTGTAAAGCAGCATATTTGTTTCCTAGTGACAACTGCATGTTAACTTTAGATGGATCCTCCACTTGTTTTCCACCACCTTGGACACGCTCAAAATTGCCCACCCTGAAATAAAATTACCTTTCAATGTTCATATTGTGTATTATAATACAAACATGTATATCAAGCAAACTTACGTCAAATAAAAAACAAGTCTCATTTTTCAAATTTCAAACAAACATATCAAAGATTTGCAAGAGTGATCCTAATGAATAAGGATAGGATTGATATACTGGTTCCACATTTAAATTTCACTAATACTGCTATTTAGTTAAAGAAATACTTTCAAATGCTACAATATGGTTGTGAGAATTTTTTATTAAATTGAACCTTACCCTGTCGGGCCCCATGATGCCACTTCCGGTGCACCACCCCCGAGTGTGGGGAAGTCATCCTCACTTTTAATGTTTGGTGCACCCTTCTTTCTTCTCGGCACGGCCGCCCTTGACCCTAAGGATTCCCCTGAAGCTTGAGACCCGCGGGCCCCAGGAGGCACATACTTGGTAGGGGCTTTAGGAGCTTCTTCTTTAGGCGGTTCCTCAGCCGGTGCTGGTGGTGCTTCCTGTACCACTGTAACACACACAGGAAATAATACAATAGATCATATTTAAATCACAAACTACTGTATAACGGGAAACTTCTGTTCTTTTTGCCCTATTACCATTAAATGTGGGCGATTGTTAGATATTACACTTGGGCAAAAATTAACATGTTTATCCAAAGCAAAAAAAAATCCTGGGTGACTGTTTCCTGTGGTACAATAATGTTTTTATTTAAAAAGATCTGTGTTCATTTTTTGCTAGCTCAATACAAATATTCATGGTTTGCTTTTATCTGTTATAAATTCTAGAAGTTCAATTTGTGATTGCAAATCTCTTAATTATACAGCTATACTGTAATGGTTCAAACTTTCACAGCCTTACTAAAAGCATCTAACAAACAGGACATGCCATCAGTTAATGGCTAGGGAGTTACATTGTGTATGATTAAAACACCATTTAATGTTGTATCAAAAAATGACATACACATTTGTGTTACAAGGTTTCAATAATATCAAAGATGGCAAATCTTACATATCATTGAAATAACTTATTATTATTGATGTATTCAACTGCTTTGCACAAACTAATTAACAAGAACCTACATGATCAGTGAATTTCCTACCTTCAACTCGAGCTCTGCTTGATTGTGATACATTCCAAGGTCCAGATGTGTCGCGTCTCTCACCACTTTCTCCATCTTCATCATTCTCATTGTCTTTATCTTCTTCTTCAACCTCTTCTGCTCCTTCTTTCCTGTATTTGAAATTGGGAATTCAATATTTAGTTTGTGGTAAAACTACTCCAATTATCAATGCCATTTTCTTCAAAAGTAGATCTGAATAGTATTAGCCAATCAAGTTAATTCTGCGTCAAGAAAGAAAAGAGAAATCATGTGATTCACTATTTACTCTGTATATACCATATTTATATGGCATTAATGCAGTGTCTATTAATAAGTCCATCCACATGAACTGGTAAATTATTGAAATAATAGAGTTCACACCACAATGTCAAACAAAGACACAAACCAGACTGTAGTGATTGTGCCTATTTCCTTATATCACTACTGGTGATTACACTCAAAGATCATTATTTTTCTAAAGCCTCCACCAAGGTTTGAACTTCAAACCTCTGGCCTAATTAGTGTTATGCCCAACCAATTGAGCTAAGGAGAAAATTTCTCTAGCCCAGCAATATTTTGTGGAGCTATTTACCAGGGATAAATAATTCCACTTCTGGAAAGAACTTTTCCGAGGATAAAATGTGTGTTTCCTCAGCAATAATAATAACCAATAATAACTCCAAAGTTTGTACATGGGAACCAATAGAACAGAGGTCATCCCTACTCATTATTTTTTTCAATGCCTCCACCAGGGATCAAATTACAGACCTATGGCTTATTGGGCTTTTTTAAAATGCTCTAACTAACAAGCTAATCAAAGTTCCTTTTAGTGAAGCTGCATATTGCAGCAAGTAATAAATCATTTGGTGATCAATCTACTTACAGCTTCAGAAACCTGTACTCATAGCATTTTGATGGGATTCGTTGAAGTTTGATAATACTTAAATCATAAATTGTGGGACCAATTGTTTTTAGCAATAAAGTTGAAAAGGATTAATGAAAACAATTTGTAGATTGATCACTATGAATCAGTAATATTCCTTTTTTACTCCAAATTTTAGAGTCACTACTTTAGTTAGTACAATACAGATTTTCAAATATCATTGCTTCAACTGTACCTTTGGTATCTCATTCACTGACTATCAAACAGTTGCTACAACCATAAAATAGTCAACAATGATATTGATATATGTAAAATATATTTATGACAAGCAAGTTGGAATGTCAAAAGGATGGTATCTTATGGTCACTTACTGTGAAATCTGTAAATTTTGTATCCTTAATCCAGTGTAATCTTTCTCAGATTCATCCACAAAATCCACCCATTCTTCATCTTCCTGCAGAAGAAATCAACATTTACAAATTCAATTTCATCCTCATTAGATGTATATATAACTGTATCAACCAAAAACTAAATTAGCATGCTATATGCCTTGAAAGTATTACATCAGGTTTATTGTTAGATTCAGTAGCAATTAAGGGGAACAAACAAAATCAGAGAAATACTGAATCAATCTTTCCAATATAAGAAAAGGCTACGACATAATTACATTGCGTGTTTATCAATATTTTATTTCTTTCCAGAGTAGTTCCTATTTAAATCTATTGAAAATATTCAAAACAATAATCATACGAAATGATAACCATAATGGCAATGTTTTTCATGGCAATCACTTCAATGTCATGTGGAATGTAAAATTTTGACTGCATCAAGTCAAAGGGTTGAATTGACTAAACAGGGCATCAATGCATTACATGTTAAGTAGTGGTTTTGATAAGTAAGTATGTCCAACCAAGTCCAATCTGCTCTGTAAGTTGATCATCAGATATCACAAAAAGTGTTTCAAGTGATTTTGAATCTTTGATTTAGTTTTAGAAAATATAGCCATTTTATATAAGTTGATACATCACCCTGCTATCAGGTTACAGTTATAGGTCAATTGGGAAATTTTAAGTACTAACCTGATGTAGAATGTATGACATTATTCTTCTTCTTATTATTCTTATTATTATTATTATAGAATTTGATGTTTTTATATTGGGAGGAATTCTGAATTCGATTGAGACCAAGACAAAAAGAAAATTACAGACAGTCAGGACCCTTTGGATTACTCTACTCCAGACATGCTGTCAAAATATAAAACATCTGATATTCGGATAAAAGGAAACTTGCTTATATGTGGTGTTACGATAAAAGTATTTATTTCAAGAACCAAAATTGAGTAGTACCAAATATCAGATAAGACATCTGTCCATCAAAATGCCTTCAAGCGTTCGTCTATCACACATTTCAATCAAAAGAATGTACAGTTTACAAATTTCCACGAACTGCAGTTTATCATATGATGTAAAGGAAACGTGCGCTCGATGTTTTCATATATACAGAAACTGAAGACCTAAGGCCCATATCGAGGCAAAGCCGACCTAGGCAACTTTCTTTCCCAGAAAACGAACTGTCAACTCGATACCATTGGTAAATAACAGATGGCACACGGAGAAGTCAATGTCACGATAGATGGAGAAATAAATTACAACCAGCCGATCTATACCTTAACTTGAGTGGCATTTCCGGTATTTGTTGAGTCTGTATTTGACGTGGCAGCATTCTGTTTGTCTTTCTCTTTCTTTTTCTTCTTTACTTTCGTCGTATCATCTCCGCTCACGAAATTGTCATGCTTCGACAGTATATCACTCGGCGTTGTTTTAGACTTGTTTTTCTTTTTACTTTTATCTTTCTTCGCAAAAAAGTCGTCAAGACTTGTGTCTGCCATTATGTTTTAGCTTGTGTTTCGGTAAATAATAAGAAGTTATGTAAAAAATACACTTTATATACGGAGAAATATGAAACGTGTTGTCTATCCCCTCCATGTGCGCATGCTTTTCTTGAAGAGATTTACAGGACCGGAGCAAATATTACTTCCGGTACAATGTTACGGTTATTTTATTTATAATTATATAAAGATATTTCTCTAAATAATTCTTAACATTTAATTCTCTTTCTATTCATATAACCAGAACTAGTTGACGACGAAAATCTACGCATATGTAAAACGGAGAGAGGTTCTTGTTTTCAACAAGCTGGTTTCGCGCACCTGTCACTCGATCTCGTGATCATTTTATCTAGAGTTATCGTTCCTAATACTAATCCAGCCAATAGAATCACTATAGCGGTGACATAAAAAAACAAATGTAATGCATCATTATTACAACAGTTGCTACTTATTCTGAATCATTCAACTGGTATCATTCATTGATATTAATAAACATAAAAGATAAACATATTAATAAATGTCCTGGGTCGGAAATAAGCTTTTCTTATTACCTTGCACTATCATTCGATCTCATTGATTCAAACATAATTTGCTGTTAATTGAAGATATAGGATTCTGAGACACCAGTTATAACAACTTCACATCGCATTCTCTTGACAGACAAATATATCATACATATTACAATAATGAATGATAGAATGAATAAATCGGTATTAAATGTACAATTAATAGCAAAGTTATCGGAAAAAGTCACCTATTGTAAACTTAGTCAAAATCTTTCGGCTGGATTGTAGGATATTTAACAAATACATGGTAATACGTGGGTAGATTGAGGTAATGGATGGGCATTATGCTTATTAGATAATAAGGAACGAAACTGAACTGTATGATGCAATTTTATTCATTGGATGACTCTTCTGTATCTATCTCTCATTTTCATCATAAACTTGTGTGTCTTTTGTACAATCTTACACAAGGTAGTGATTTCAATTAATTATTTAACAGTTTACAGTACAAGGTATGAAAGAAGATTTTGTGAGAGAGTTCAAATTGAGGAATTCTCTAGTTATTGTTGTATTAAAATGTATAGGTATTATACTTCAGCCATCAATCGGTGGTAAATCTCCTTTCAGGAGATCAGGAGTTTACTTGTTATTCACTTGTCCTCGTTTCTCTTTGAATTGCGACACCTACTCGAGACCTACCGCCCTTAACAATATCATTTTCACATTTTCTTAAAGAAACATGTTGATGAAATAGGGTACTCGCAGCCCTTGTCACCTTTTTGTTTTCATATTCATATTATTTATATCAACTTAATTTCATTCATATATGTATATACATATACATTGTAATATTAGAATAATCACATATTAACTTATGTAAATCCGGCCGTTTTTATCATAGGCACATATTAACAGGTACGGCATCAAGCTGGAAAATGAAGCAAGAAGATATTGAATCGTGCATGTTGCAGAAAATGTAAGAGAAGAATGAGAAGATAAGAGGTGTAAGAGTGAGAATAAGACAGCAGGGTTGACATGGTGGGGGACAAATGAATGAAGCATGCTGTAGTTACTCAAATATCTAATTCAGAGCTGGCACTGAAGGTTTGGGCACACGGGGGGAAAAATCGAGCGGAATTTTCAGCATTTGTAAGGTCATCGTCACCAAAAAGTAGTATTTCTGTTGAGATAGGACTGTTTAGAATACTAAAGATTACGAAGTCCTGAGAGAAGTAGACAACGTATCATAACGATAGTGTTCGTTGGTAGTGGACTTTTAACCACGAGAGAAATAAAAATCTTAGTGCACTGCAATTAATCCTAAATTGTACATGATGAATTTGATCCTTTCTACTCTACCGCTATAACGTTAGGACGGAACTTTGTTGCCCGGTACATTTTTTTTATGATTTTGTTAAAGACGGATAAGAATTTTAAGACATGTCCTTGAGGGTCAGTTTGTCACATATGTATACAACACACACGTATGGATCAATCCAAATGTGGCCAGCTGCATCACAAAATATAACACCCAACAGGCCACTTACAATTCTGTCCTTAACATGTCTCGTAATTTACCTAATGTATCATCATAGGTGGTTGGGATTGCTACAGATCATCGCAACACATTGTTGAAAAAAACATTCGAAGTTTGACCAATCGGACCTGTAGGATGATTGACCAATATCTGGTTGAAAGCATCAAACTCCAGTTATACCTACATAAGCCAGTTAAGTTTAATTTTCAGAAACTTATTTCTAAGATCCGTTTATCTGCACTTGATTTAGCATTTGAACGTGGGCGATACTGGGACATACTAAGGGAAGAAAGAAAGTGTATTTTGTGTAATGAGAACGATATAGAAGACGAATATCGTTTTATTATTAAATGTAAGTGTTATGCAGATATTTGTACCAATTTGATCAAGCCATATTATTAGTTTATGTAGCCATTTAATTAGTACTTTCTGTGGTTTCCTCCAAAAATATGCATGATGGTAAGAATGTTAGTGTCTTTGTCTTTTTAATTGTTATTTTGTTAAATTGAAAATGAAATGAAAATTGGTTTAAAAAAACACTGAAGTGTTTTCCATAGTCTCCATTCTAACCAGACATTAACGAGATATATATATGCAATAAGTACGGTCATTGGCCTACTCCTTATAGAAAACTTATAACACGAAGAGCATAATAATCACATGTATATGATTTTCAAAAACCAAAAACAAATCACATACTGGTGTATGTATACATAGAATATGATTTGGTTACATGATTTTGTTTTCGCTTTTACATCAAATTTCTGTAAATAAAGGTGTTATGGAGTAGTGTTAATACTATGATAACTATATAATCTGTTTTTAGAAAACTGTTTTTTTTCTTAAGAGAATTCAATATTTCATATTTGAAACTAAATATTTATATATATTTGGGTTAATTTCCTATTTCCACAAACATATTCAACAACTAATCTCTGCATTACAGGATTCGATGGGAGCAACACATCTCGAATAAGACCGTTCTGGACATGACAGGGACAGTGAAGATAAGCCAGGAGGTGAGAAGAAGGAGATGGAGCTGGATTGGACACGTTCTGCGGAAGAATCAACGGGATGACTGTCCTGTGGCCCTCTGTTGGACACCAGAGGGAAAAAGGAAAAGAGGCCGCTCCGAAAACAACTTGGCGAAGAATGGTGAAGGTGGAGCGGAATGGTGCTGGCTGGAGTACCTGGAACTCTGCACGCCGTGCCGCCGAAGATCGAAAACAGTGGTGATGGGATGTCCAAGCCTTGTGTGCCTCCTGGGACAGAGCGAATTAAGCTTAAGATTAAGGGATCTCTACATTTTACTATATCTCCGAGCTATCTAGTTTTATAACAAGTGACAAATATGAAAAAGATTATGTTTGAAAATCGCTCAGGTGTGAAATATGCCATGCAGGCTAGGTGATACCGGGTCATTTTCAGATTAAGACTGAGAATGAACATTTTTTCGAACCCGACAAAGAATTTCAGAGACTAATTTCAGACGACAGAAAAATGAATGTACAGGAATGTGCAACAATAAAGAGATCTAAAGGTCTTACCTACACGAATATTGCGATCTTGGATATCGTTGTTACGTTGAGGAAGAATTTCTTGTAGATATTGAAGAAGACTATGACATTGAATAATTTTATGATGTTTTCTTCTTTGCTGTAGAGTTAGCCAGCCTGTCTCAAGATAAAGTTGATACTTTACTAGTTAGCCTTGTATCGCCAGTAATTGTCTTTTATGTTTTCGTTTCGTTCCTGTTTTTATCTTTATTAAGTTAATATGATCGGCCCAACCACCATTCATTAATTCAATAGAAACAGACCAAGATTTTTACGTGAACCAACTTCAGTAATTGGAGTATCATTTACAGCCAAGAGAGAGTGAGGTTAATTACAGCATCAATATTCTTAGATATTAGTAAGGTTCAGTTTTGTAGGATTGAAATTCTACCAACCATTCTACAGATAATCCACTAACTTCACTAAGATCGTATATCGAAACCACTGTGCTATGTGTGTCTATGATAACGTGCAAGGCGTTGTATGCAAATAATTTGATAATAGTTCGTATGTCTTTCACAATGTCATTAATAAATAACAGAAACAAATTGGGATCAAGTATGAAATATTTGGGTACCCCGGCCTTAATATGCGACTAATTAAAATATTTGGAATTAGAAAATTTTGAGCATCTTGGGAGATAATCCCGGGTTCTAAAAGAAAGCAATTTACATGATTACTTAGGAGTCATTTATGCCAAACGCGATTAAAACGCTTTGCAAATACCAGAGATAGCAAGTTGATTAAAGCAGGAATTTATTTTTTATTTTGGGCAGTATGGCTATAAATCTCAAATTTCATAATTTGTGGATGATATATCAATAAAAATTTGGATACAACTTGAACAGTTTGGCGTTAATGATATCCCCTTCTTATTACGAAAAAAAAATCAATATGGTAAAAAATATATCGAACTATACTTAAGTGGATAAAAAAAGGAAACTATCATGTACACAGACGAATACACGTTGACCATTATAACAGTGCTTAGAGTTTCCACGAATTTATGAAACGGGTCGCGTTTCACAACTTTTGCTCTAAAATACCAAATGGTTCCCATCCGTGTCTTTAATCTAAGTTTTCTTACCTAAAACTATTCATTGGTATAATTTCCTCCCTCCAGATTAGGTCTACATTTCTCCCCACTAACGTCTGCTTCAATATCGATTTTTTTCATTCCAATTATGCCAGTCATTAGCGGTCCTATAATGTCAATGCTACATTTGAAATCGTTTCTAACTTTCCGGAAGCGTGCTCCTCTACCGGTTTGTAAATTACGTAGTAACCGGAAGTAATTAACATTTTAAGCGTACCTTTTTTTGTTCGCTGTAGAAAGTCTGCGAAAGAAGCGGCATATTCAACGAAGTCGTGCCAGATTTGTCAACCTTTTATGTGTAAGGAAATACATAAGAAAACCATTTTGTTAGTGCATTGTAACAATACTGTATTATTGATTTACATTACGTTTATTTTTGTGATGTTCTGACAAAGCCATGCCATGATGAGACAATGACGTCATGAATATTTTCTCCGGATTTCTAAAAGTAGTTTTCCCGACATGTAACACTGATTTTGCACTTGTTTATACGTATTTTACTACAATATTCACTTGTTTGTCATAATTGGTTTCCATATATTTGATTAGCCGTAAATATTATTTGTGAGAATGAACGATGCTGACGCCCTTTGTGTCCAATACATAGCCTCCCCCCGCTACCGGCACGGTTGGATTACACGCTCTGCTGCTTCAAGCACAAGGGCATGTATCAACAATCTTTAGAGCTCAAAACACTTTGACTTGGTATGAAACAATAACTTAAGATTTCAAAACGATATAAAATTCAGCGCAAGCTCCTTTTGTTCTTAATAAGCTAGTGTAGTATTTTATCTGGTTTTGGCCTTTAAAAATATTGTTACTTGCTCCTGTGCTTGTTCATTGATATATTAACAAAAGCAATGTTATTGCACAATTGTACAAGATTTTGCAAGTATATCTCGAACTTTATTTTCTCAAGCGACCTGATTATTGAATTTGCCTTTTTAACCTTGAATGTATAAATTATTGTTCAAAGAAAACGAACATCACCTTATAACATAATTTTAGCTGTATGACAATTAAAATTAACTTCATTATAGGGATGGATTGGGAGTTTGAGAGATTAAGTACATTTTTAGCCCACCATCATCAGTTTGAAAGTAAAAGATTGTTACCGCTATTTCTGGGAAAGTACTGGATGGATCTTTCTCAAATTTCATATGCAGGTTCCCCTTGGTCCCTAGTTGTACATTGTACCTTTTTTGGACTGATTCAGATTCAAGATGGCCGACAGGCAGCCATCTTGGAGTTTGAAAGTAAAAGATTGTTACCGCTATTTCTGGGAAAGTGCTGGATGGATCTGTCTCAAATTTCATATGCAGGTTCCCCTTGGTCCCTACTTGTGCATTGTACCTTTTTTGGACTGATTTGAATTCAAGATGGCTGACAGATGGCCATCTTGGATTTTGGAAGTAAAAGTTTGTTACCGCTATTTCTTGGAAAGTACTGGATGGATCTTTCTCAAATTTCATATGCAGGTTCCCCTTGGTCCCTAGTTTGACAGGCAGCCATCTTTGATTTGAGAGTAAAATCTTGTTACCGCTATTTCTAAGGAAGTACTGGATGGATACTTCTGATTTCATAGGTATTGGTTTCCCTTGGTCCCTAGTTGTGCATTGTACTTTTTTTGGAGATTGAAATCAAGTTGGCCCACAGGCAGCCATCTTGGATGTTGACAGTAATACAGCACAAGCATATTTTCTTCGATATTCTATCATATTGATTCAAGACCATGTCCATTATCCACCTGTACCTGACTGCTATCTAATAATACTTTGGGATCTTTTTCAAATGATATTTGCTAATAGGTGCTTAATAAAAATATCTTGTGCCATCATTGAGTACATTCAATGAAGACCAGTTCATGAACATTTCCAAAACCTGTAACACAAAAAAAAAAAAATAAACAAATCTTCAAGAACTGAAAACAGATCCTCAAATGGTGGGTGCCAAGATCCCTCTGGGATCTGTTCTTCTTAAATGCAATAGATCTGGGATCTGCAATGAATTATCACAAAATTCACAGGTACACTGTACTTTTTTGCATTTACCATAAAGTTTCACTTTAGCATATTTGATGTAAAAGCATGATATTGTTAAATTACAAACTTTGATCAATCTCAAAGTTCAAATTTTGTCATATAGTTTTGATATTTTTCAGTATTCAGCCCCATACTGCAAGATGTTGGACTTGTCCAAAATTAAAGAGGACTTTTCATTAATGGTAAAGGAAGCCCAGCCATGGACTCTTACACAGTTTGTGATGTGGTTAGACCTTAAGCTCTCTGAATACAAAATTAAAGGATACATGGTCTTGGGTGAGTTTGTTACAATATGACATTTTAACTGAAAGATAAATATTCCATTGGTGACAGAATGAAACTTCTAAACATTTCTATTAAAGAATTTTTATTTAGTTGTGAAGGTTGTACATATACCACATTTTCTGGATTATAAGCCACAGTTTTTTATCCTAGACGGTCATGCATGCAACTTATATACCAGTACAGCTTATATGTGGATGAAAAAAAAGGCAAAATGAAAAAAATTGAAGCGTATCCGCCTGGACATACGATACAGACCATTATGTATTTCAGAACTGCCATTTTGTTTAGGCATATCAGATGTGCTGTTGACCAGTGTGACCTTGCACTCTGATAATTTTGGTTCCTGTTACATGTCATGCTTCCAGAAAGAATAAAAAATTGTAGTTTAAATAAAAAATACCAGTACAAGATGTCATTGTTTTACAAGTACCTGTCCATCAGGTGTTTGTGACTGAAGCAGATCGTCTAGAAGGGTCATATGCAACCATTTACACGAAGATTTTCAGATTAATTTATATTAAATGTCTTACTGACGATATTGATAAACTGCCTTCTGTTGTTTGTTATATCAGCAAACTTTGGTCAACATAACAGTTACCACATTGTAAGAAAGGGTGCAGCTTATATTCCAATGCGGCTAATATGTGGATCAATCTAAAAAAATGTTAAGAAATGACTCTGGCATACACACTCCTGCAGTATATAATCAGGAAAATATGGTACATTGTTTGCACTCTCAAAGAAAAAGTTGTTCAAGAAATGTACTCATACACTCCAACCTGTGCATTCATAGCTCAACTCTTGTGGAGGAACACAACATACTATTAAATTTACATTTTTAATGATATAGATTAATATATTAGCATATTATATTTATGCATTATGAACAAGAGTTGTGAATACAGCTACACTTACGCTTATGCAATTACCAAAGTAATTTTATTGAAAAATAAAGGTCATTAGTACATTTAAATGTAGATGAACTGTTAATGATCATTGTATATAATGTTCCCTTCTAAGCAGTCTTAATGTGTGGACAGCTCTCTGTCTTCAAGTATAGTCTATTTCTTAAATTTCTAACCATTCCACCCCCTCAACCTTTCCCCAAAATGAATAAAGCATCAAGAATGTTTTCCCAATTTGAAAAGAAACCATTACTATATTTTCCAAATTCATTATGGCACAGACGGCTTTAAAATTAGGTCATAGAAACACTGGATTTGATGCTAATGAATTAGTCATCTGTGGAAGAGCTATCAAATATCTCAATCAGGTCCCAGATCTGGCAATGTGTACAACACTACTGACTTATATGAATAGTATCACACAAACAAGATATAATCCAGTGTGTTTCAAACTGTGACAACCTGATATATTTTATGAAAAGGTTTGACGTGGTAAAAATATATTGTGTTGAGATAACAACTTAAAGTTTCCTTTTCAATCTGGTATCAAATGTTTGAAAAGTTTCCCTCTTACTGTTAATCTATATAGATAATTATAGTATAATGCACTGTACCCAAATACGTACAAACTGAAAGTTATAATTTGGAATGGGTGTTACTTTATGCAGTCAGTTGAATTCAGTATGCAAATTTCTATCTTGATAATGAATTCTATTATGTTTTTTAGTATACTTTAGATATTAAATGAAATAAAAATTTGATTTGTATTTTTCAGATCATGAAAAAACAACTAAGCCTCGTTGGTTAAGTCCAGATGATGATAATGATGCTGGCGGTGACATAGCACCACAACCTCCAAACTGTCCCAAGTGTAATACTAACAATCAGGGACAAACACGAGCAGATAACTCAAATCAGCAGAGAAGAAACCAAAATGCATTTCAGCGGCAGCAACAGAGAAATAGAAATGCAAATTTCCGACGTCAAGGGAACGAATCCTATATAAATGAAGTTCTAAGTGTAGGGGACAATGTACAGAATTCCAGTGTGAGGGGAAGCAGCAAAGATATGATGCCACAAGTGATATCATTAGAACCTGCCACGGACCTTACGGCAGAGGACATCAAAGAAATGGACAAAGTATTTCAAAGCAAAGAATCGTCAAATGTTGATGATGATGTTGTGGAAATATCAAACCCCGCTGGTCGGGGCCTTCAGCGCCATCGGCGGTCTCAGGTGTCTTCTACCATAACCTCAAAACAGGACAGTGGACGCGGTTTTATTACAGCAGGTAGTACATCAGGATCCTCCTTTTTACATGAAGGACATGATCAGGATTCCTTCTCGCGTCCACCAAGAGAAGATTCTCCGCCCAAAAGACAAGTAGCTATGGTTGACTTATCACGTGCATCAGTACCTGATGAGGAACCATCTTTTGAACCACCACCAACCAGTATTAGACCTGAATTACTGATGAGTGCAAGAAATGAGCCAGTACAAAATGTGTCTCAAAATCAGACTACATCTAGTGGTAGTATGTCTGAACAGCCTGTCTCCATGCCCTTACCTGTACCTGTAGCACTCCATGTAGCTAGACCAAGTGACCCAGGTGGGTCGACGCCGATGGAAACATCCTCCGTTGATCCATCCACCACAGAAATCAAACAAGAAGTCAGCGATAATTTCGAAGAATGTTTCCTAACAGGTTTGTTCATCACTTCATGGTGAAAGATAATTCTTTAAATATTAAAGCATTTTTTTTCCTGTCGTCTTATCAGCTTTAAGTGGACATCATGATAAAACCATTCAGTTTGTTATTGATAGTGCTTGTTTTATGCACTTTCAGTTCATTTTTGTAAAGTAAACACAAACACATAATGGCAAGCAGAAATGACAGTGACAGTAGTGACACAGCAAAATTCTGTTTTCAGCACCGCATTTGTAAATGATGTGGTAAATGTTATTTGGTAACTCTAAGTCAATTCAGAATTATGAAATAGGAAACATCAATCACGGATCAATTCAGGTGGGAAACCATTCTTGTTTACAGATAACAGACAACAGATAAGGATTTCCTTTTTATAATTGCAATGTTTGATAAAAGTTAGAATTCCGTACCTTTCTCAACATGTTCTGATATTTTCTGCTTCAGTGTTGCTTTTTGACATTTTCAGTTATGCTATCTTGGTTCTCTACTGCAATTTTCAAATATTGTCTGGTTCTCTTGCAATAAAAAATCCTTTTGTAGTATGCAATAATTAATTGTAATTTAATTATTTTATTCATGATCATCAACAGATTTGGTTAAAGTTTGTACTTCATTTTCTAGAGAACTTCCATTCTGAAATTTGACCTAAGAGTCAAAAATATGAAACTATTTTAGAGACATTTCAATAAAACTTTGTCTTAGGTGTTTTAGGAAAAGGGAAGATAGAAAATTAAACCCAGTAGTTGAATGATGACAGCTTTTTTACTCTTTTAGATTTTCAAACTTACACGACCTTAATTTGAAAAAAAAATGAGTATTTAGAATTTGCTGCTTAAATTCAATTTAAGATATTAAGTACTATTTTACTTGTAAATGGTTTCTGCAGGTACAGATGAACAGAATAATCAGATGTATATGATGGGTGACAACAGTTTATCAGATAGCGAAGCAAGTTTCAGTCAAGGACAGGCATACTCCCCACAACAGAACACTGGTAATATGGCTCCACTCGGCTTCGGTCAAGGTCTTTACACTGTAGGTGAACAGGAAGTTGATTTACCGAAATTTGAAGATCCTTTAGTTCGACGAGTATTAGAAGATGGTGCTGCACCCTCACGACATATGTGGTCAAAAATAATCACCAGATGTGCGTATCATATGCTGTCCAAGGGTGTTCCACACAAACATGACTATCAGTTGTTCAGTAAAGCCTTTTATCTGCGATATCCATGCATAGGAACAAATCGAGGACCAAATCCATGGGTAAGTTTTTTACAACATTCTCTTGTGGTATATACAGGCAGACAATTCTGTCTGGCTGTGTATACAAACTGTAAAACGGTAGATATTCCATCGCCATCTCCTATTGCATTAAACTCCGGGATTTTAGTCTGAAGGAGGACAGAGCAAGCAAGAATGATGGGGAACACAAGTGTACAGTGAAAATGGCATGATGCGTGAGGAGAGGTGTGGGGTATCGGATTGTTTATAGACTACTCAGTAGTGTTGGGAAATTTGTTAAAAAGCTCTAATCGATATCAGTTAAAACTGAAATAGGCTTTCTAAATAAGTTGATTGATTACATAATGAGGTCACTGTGTTCAATGTTCACATAAAGTGAAAGCATTTTCCTTTTTTTTCTGTTGTAATGTTTTTTTTTTTAATTTGAAGGTAAAATAACTCACTTACTCAGAAACTGCAGAACTTGCAGAATTTGCTCAAGAATGAACATTATTGGCAGTTGGAATATTTGTTATCCTTAGTATCAATTTGGATTTTACAAAAATGAGAAAATATTAAGGTACAGAAGATCAATTATAAAAAAATTATAATAGATCATTGCATCAACTGAAGTTAAACCATCAAATGTTCAATTAAATCTGATTATCTTCCATCACTGATCAGTGTCCCTTTTTCTATTTAACAGAAAATATCACCGAAACATTTCTTTCTCCCCCAAACTGCAGTGGGTATCCCACAATTATTTGGGAAAGGTTGAAAGACCTATAGTGAGAGACAGCGTCAGTATTTAACCCTTAAGAGCTGGCTAACTAGCCAAGTTCAGTAAGTTGCATAGCATATGTCAGCATTAAATAATTTTAAAAAATTACTATTTTCAGTCATAAAGTCTTATATAGGTCTTTAACAAAAGTTTGCATTGTGAAGTACTGGAATTCTTAAAAAAAAAAAAAGAAAACGGAAATTCAGTCCCAAATTTCATTTCAACATCTTCAGGAATAAATCAAAATAAATATTATCTTAGCAATCAAGAATCATAAAGCGTAATGCCACTGATAGATTTTTATGATACCACCATAAAAATGGGGGGTGGGGTGTCATTAGCATTGCCCATGTCTGTCCTATCCTGCTTCAGTGTAAGCACCTAGCAACTTCATTCTTTTTGGCTAACCCATAGAAAGATAAATATCTATAACTACTTTTAGATTAATGAGGGAGGAATGTGTCTAGTTGGAAAGATGTTGGAGGGATATTTATAGGTGAAGAGATGAGAAAGGATGTTTATGGTGTGGAGATGGGGAGGGATGTTTATAGGTGAAGAGATGAGAAAGGATGTTTATCGTGTGGAGATGTTGGAGGGATATTTATAGGTGAAGAGATGAGAAAGGATGTTTATGGTGTGGAGATGGGGAGGGATGTTTATAGGTGAAGAGATGAGAAAGGATGTTTATCGTGTGGAGATGGGGGAGGGATGTTTATAGGTGAAGAGATGAGAAAGGATGTTTATGCTGTGGAGATGGGGAGGGATGTTTATAGGTGAAGAGATGAGAAAGGATGTTTATGGTGTGGAGATGAGGGAGGGATGTTTATAGGTGAAGAGATGAGAAAGGATGTTTATGGTGTGGAGAGATGAGAAAGGAAGGTTTAAAGGTGGAAAGATTAGGGTGGAATGTGTCTAAGCAGAGAGATAAATGGAAGGAAGTTTATATACTGTGGGAAATTAGGCAAGAATATTTCTTGGCGGAGAGATATTGATGGGGTACTTAAAGGTAGAAATAAGGATATTATGAAAGTGGAAAAAGGAGGAAGTGGAAGATGGTTAATTCACTGATAACTTTGAAAAAAAGGAGTTGATAGGCAGAGGAGAGAGAGAAGTTTGTAAATGGAGTTGAAAGGGAAAGTGTGTAAGTGTAATTGAGGGAGATAATTGGTAAGTGGAAATGAAAGGGAAACTTGTAAACGAAGGTGAAAGTTTGTGAAGGAGGTGAGGGTTAAGTTGGAAAAAGGAGATGAAGGGAAGTTAGAAAGTTGAGGTAAAAGGGAAATTTTGTAAGTAGATGTGAAAGGTGAAGTCTGTATGTAAGTAGGAGGAGAAGTTTGTAAGTGGGAGTGGGAGTGGGTGAGTAAAACTATAAATTGAGGTCAGAGTTTGTAAGTTTGTAAGTGAAGGTAAGAAGGAAGGTTTTAAAACAGAATTTGGGGAGGTTTCTATGTGGAGGTAAGACCGAAAAGGTTGAAAAGTGAGGGATTGGATTTTGTTATTGGGATGTTTGGAAATATAAATGTCAATCCCTGATGGGTACAAGGTCACAATAGTGTCATTCTCAGGCTTCCTATAATCATCAGTTAGATAATGGTGATTGACACATTGTAAAGTGAAAAAAAATCTTAAGAATAGTTTAGTAAGACGTTGAGATAGCTAATAGTTTCGTTTCTGGTATGTGTGGACTAAACAGATTTGACATATACTCCACAGTCTGGATATATAATATTTAAGATTGAAGTGAATTGAAGTTATTTGACTTAAATTGGAAAACACCATGATGATGTTGCTTTTTTAGAGATTATGTCTAAAATCTGCTAAAAATTAATAATTTTCTTCAGTTTTTCACACTTTCATTGTAATGAGGCAAATGATGAGAGTGAAATAATAATGGTCATACTATGGAAAGTATGACACCTGAATATATAAATCCAGAATGTGGAATGTGATACTATATACAGTGGTGCCTGGGGATGACCTAAATGTGACACCCTATAATGGTGATGGAATGTCTATTGTTTTTATTTACATTTGGACTGACAGTTCAGCTTTTCAATTTGTGCTGCTTTTTGTATATATTGATATAAAGCCCTTCAACAGTTGTAGTAAATACACTAAAAAGGGCCAGCGATGAAGGAGGTCACATGATTCTGTGCCTGCTTCATCCCGTACCAACATGAAGAAAGACTCCCAGAAAATGTTCATTTTACTGTTTTTAAATTTCCACCAATAACAAAGTATCAATATTTGTGAAATAAAAGCCACCCAAACTTTAAATCCTTATTGTGAAGCGAGTTAAGTCACCCAAACAGATTATAATTATTGGCCATACAATGTGCACTAGAAAGATGGGCCTGATACATACACTAAAATACAAGTCTGACCAGGTATAGTTTTAGGTCTGTGTATTCATCTATTGCAGCCTTGTAATAAATGATTAGTTTCAGCAAACATAAGCAGCATTCAATAGACATCATAACTTAGGCATAGAATATTTATTTTAGATAGTTGGAATTTTATTGTATCTGACTATTTGTAGACTTTGGATCCATATGACAGGCCAAACAAACTCACTGTGTATACATAGTTATGGCCCTTCGTATACAATGTCACAGGCCAACAGATGCCAAATTTGATGTTTAAGTACCTACATTGTATTGGATGGGAAATTGGAAACCTGGTGTTGAATTAATGTCGATACAGAATTGTAGACCTACACCCCACAAAAGTTCTTATAACACAACTAGTAGAAGACTTTATTGAGATTTTTCAGTGACTCCTTAACTGATTTGCGTAGTGTATGAGATGGTAAAGAACTGACCAACTTTTTTGGCTGCACATTAATCCTATAACGCACTCTTAGGCTGGGAATAGTGTTACATAAGATTAACAGATTAAGAATTACACAAAATGGTACCTCGTATTGCAGTTGATTTGGATACAATTTGTTTTAACACTTGGTCATAGTTGTGTGAGGGTTTGTGGCCCCCTTGGTCTCTGTCCAGTACTGTTTGCTGTGGTGTATCCAAATTGACTTCTTCCCTGGCCGCCTGAAAAAGTTCTCTGTTGAATATTCTATAATTTTCCCAGTCAATGATGGTTTTGCTGCATTTTGCATTTGCTCCGATCATGTGAATTTTTTGCCTCCTTGGGATTCCGCTATTTTCTATAGTACATTAATTTGGACCCCCAATTTCTTGCCTGTTTCTATATCATATGATGCATTATAGTTTTTGCATCCAATTTTGTGTGACATTCTCTTTGGGTGTTTCGATCTTTGTATGGACAAGGGCATTTCAGAAAGTCTTGTTGGGTTTCCTGGTTGTTGCAATATCGTGACCATAGTAAATCCTGTAAGTGGTTTCTAAAAGGCCTTAAATGTAATGGATGACTACCTGTCCTTTCCTTTTGTTCTTTTCCTTGGTGTTTCGTGTTGTAATCTCAATAAGGGTATCAACTTGTTTTCGTGGTGCTATGGATGTCATGTTGTTTTTGCTTCATGCCTTGTTCCTCTGTGACAATCATTTCACATCAGCTGAACATAGTTTGTACTACAAACTTTTAGTCTAAAAATGGTAGCGTTTTTTGTAACCAGTTTACCATCTTGTCACACTCGACCATAGCATGGGTAGAATTATAGTACAGAAGGACAAGTTGGTTGATTACTTATCATCTCGTACACTACGTACATCACTGCTAGTATACTTCACACTTTATCTGATGAAGGTGATCATGTAGTTATCAAAATGTCACCCTAAAATCTTTGGAAACTTGATCAAACACATGTTTGTACACCACGTTTTGAGTTGGGGCTGGAGGATATGTTATATAATCCTGTGCATTGTACATGTACAATTTATGATTAAGACAGAACATTGGACCCTTGAAAACTTCCTGTAATTTCTAACATCACAAATACATGGTTTGTTACACAGGTAAGTTATAATATATATATATATTTCAGTGAAGTTGAGCTGTCAGTCCATTTTATGTTTTTTCTGTTAGAATGTTGAAACTTTTATGATTCCTCCTTATGAATAATCCACTCATTCTAAATAAACTACATTAAGTTGTTGAATTAACACATTGGAACTTTGTTATGTAAATTTCATTAATATTTTAATGCCATAGTTAATTGTTTTTTTTGTTTAGTTGTATTTTAAGTTGCTGATGGATTAGACCATTGTTGTAATTTGAGTTAACATCTTCAAAACGAAACTTTTTCAACAAAGCCTAACATAGCAAAGTTCCGTGTTATTTA